CGCGACGGTGATCGCCGCGAGGGCCGCGAGGACCGGCGAAATGATGATCGGCGTGACCGGCGCAGCAGGAGCCGGGCCAGGGAGGACCGAAGGAGGGAGGAGAAGTGAGAGCGAAGATGCGCAGATCGATAAAAAAGTCAAAAAGGGGAGGCCGGGGGATGGAGAATCCTTTTTTGCTGTAGTCAGGCCAAGCCATGAGGCTACACCACTGAACGCGTGATTTCCGGAGCGTTTATGGAGAACCTGGGCCAAGTCTAATAGCACCCACTCCGCGGTCGTTTGCTTCACAGAAGCCAGCTTGGAAGACAAGCAAGCTGTTGCAACCTGCCCCCCCTTCTGGGTGAAAAAGGACCATTCGCAGTGCACGGCCTCGCAGGCTTTGGCATCGGGCGCCCGCCTCAACTGCTCAGCTGCTTGAGCCCACCTCTCACCCTAAAATCCTCCTTGCAGCTTTTGTCTCCAAAAGGAGGAGCCCGTAAAATGGCTGGCTTCCCTTTGATTTTCCTTCAACAGAATTCACAAGACGCGCACCAGCTCCAACAAATGACAGCCCCATGTGCTGCATGCCTTTCCTAACGCAATTAAACCGATTAACCGCAATTCGCTTGGGCATGTAGTGCTTTTGAGAGTTTTGGCCGCCTTCCCATGCCCTCCCACTAACATTGGTTAGTCTACAAATGACACTTTCGGCCTTGCGACAATTTTTTTGACGCCTCTCCGAGGCCCTCCCGCGCTTCCGGAGGCCGTTGCCGTTCCGAGTCCCTCCGATAGGTTGGGAAAGGGGTCTCCAGACCTCAGGGTTTCGCCATAAAAAAAGGGGAGGAACAGGACACGGGGTACCATGCAACGAATATCTGTATTACTCATTCAGAGCCATAGCCACTCAAAATCACAGGGTTCCTTGAAAGATGCATGCTGGTCATTATTGGCCCGTTTGGGGCATCACGCTGACTTGAGCATTTGTTATGGACCATGTGATCTGACAAAGGGGGGATGAAGGCCCACGAGCATCCCAAAGTACAGACATGCAGCCTCAGATGTAGAATGTTGGCCAGTAGGGCGACCGACCAGCACAAACGTTCTCCAAGGATGTTCATTGCACAATCAAAATCACGCGGGGGTAAAGGATGCTCACCAACATCCTCGAAATCAAAGTGGTTGTGCAGATGTCAAGTTGTCAACAGTACGGTCCCTCTTACTGGAATTCGTTGAAAGGCGAACCGAATGTCGCCATGTGACCAGGGTTCCGAAAAAGGTCCCTCTTTTGGCGACCTCAAAGGCGTTTCCATTGGATTGGAAGGCACCTGTGCGGCTGGTGGTGGTGGTGGTGTTGGTGGTGGTGGCGGTGGTGGGGGTAGTCATTTGGCTTCCAAAAGGTCTGCCAAAGGGCCTGGCCCAACGTGGAGTCCCTGAACGCACAGACAGCACTGGGGCTTGATTTGGCCTTCGAGGGAAAACAAACGCAGGTGGAAGCGTATTTCGACAAATGTATTTCGTGCCAATTACATGTGTTCCCCTGTTGTCCCCTGGCCTTTCCCTTCCCAAAAATGGGTACGGCCATCTTGATTTTGATTTTCAGTCTGGGCCAGGACGAGGAGCTCACGTCTCTGCGCCAAGACGCCCGAAACATCCTGATGCAGGCTGCCGAGGATGGACAGCCTGGGCGCGTCTGTCCCGGATCCCGGATCCGCCGAGCTTGGGTCACAACTCCCAATTACAATCAAATTACATGTGTTCTAACTGCGAGCTTATCGTGGGCAGAATGTCTTCAAGGCCTTGTTCGGCTTCCAAACCGAATCTTTGAGCGATGGGAACAGGTCGTTTTGATCACGCTGAGCCCCTCCTCATCCTCAGGATTTTTCGGAGGATTGGACAGAGGGTTGCGGGGGGTTGGGACAGGACTTGAAGAGGACATGTTTGGTAAGATGTCGTGCTGAAGTTTCCGCTCCTAAATGGGTTCGGATCACTGAGCTAGCGTCATTCTACTGATGGAAGCGGGGTTCCGCTGGCGGCCTTCTAAAACCGTCCGATCGTCAGCGTCCAGGGTTGGAGTGAGCTAACCCTGTTTTACTTGCTTCAAAACAGAAATGCTTGGCAACCTAGGTCAACAATTCGGGATCTGGAAAGGGTTGTCAAAATTAGAGGTCCCGCGGCAAAATCAGTGATTCGAACCCTTTTGGGTTGATTCCTGTTCAACCATCCGTCTGGTTCTGCTCTCAGGTTAACCTGGGACCCCCAAAAGCCACCAGCACCCCCTTGTGGTGGAGTGTCCTTTTGGCATTTGACCTTCAAATGGGCGGGCTTGCAGCCAGGACGGACGACTAGAAGTGGCCTTGAAGAGCGTTCGCCCGGAGGCGTGCGAGCCTTGCTCTGTTTAACTTGTGGGTGCCCCAAGAATCCGCTAGCATGACGAGTTCGGAGTCCCTCTAAACCCCAATGACGCCAACAAACAACCTTCCACAAACTAGTTGCCATGAACACAGCGGAAGCAATTCCAGCCATGTATTTCTGATGTCCACCGCATCCCGGTCGTTCAGAGGCACCCCAAATGGTATTTGTTCCTTTGTTTTCTTGCGCAACGACCCTCACACATTTCAGCCTCCGAAAAGGGCGCACCCTTGTTCCCAGTTGAGTGACACCCTCTAAGCCTCAATTTTGTTTGGTAGGTGCGGGGAATCAATTCCAAGAACGTCCGCCGGCTCACTTGCCGACGCTTGGGTTTTGCAGACGAAGCAGCAATACGCTCAGCAAGACAACATAGACCAAGAAAACCACCTTTGTGGCTAAATTGTCGGTTGGACCCCACAAGTCAGTGGTCTGCTTTGGATGCCATCAAGAACAGATTCCAGTTGTTGGGTGTATTTTTTAAAGCGGTAACCCGTCTTGGGGTTGCTGCAAAGGGATGCCAAAGGGAAGCCTGGTCAAGCCCGTTATCTTGGTTTTAAAAGAAAAACCACCCATTTGTCCGCCTTTCGAACGTGCAGCCAAAACGCATGGAGGCTAGCCTGGAAATCAAGGAAAGAGAGCAAGGGGCGTTCCAACCTCCACAAGGTTTGGTGCCCAATTCACGTGCCTAAGGTGGGGGTTTTTGAGAGACCTCAGATCTTGTCAGAGCTTGTAAAGGAAGAACGGGTGGATGTGTTGTGAAACAAAACATATAATCGTAGAACAAATCAATTTTCAAGTGGACGATTTGTCACTGTTCTACACCAAAAGTGAGTGAGTGTTTCACAATTCTTCAGCCCCACGAGCCTTCCAAACCTTGACCCTCTTTCCAAAAACCCTGGAAGTGGCCAAAGGCTTCCCCACAAGGCCAGTAGTCTTCCAAACCGTTTTGTCAGCTTCCTTGATTGTTGGAGGGATTGTAGCATTCAGGTGGAGGTTGCTTTGGAGCCCAGTGAGGGTTGGGGGTTGGCTTTCGGCTTTGACCCCGTGGGTCGTTGCTGGGCTTTGGATTCCGAAAAATAGGCTCTTCGGGATTTTGGGAAAATGGGGGATGGGTTTCTCCGAAAATATTCCCAAGCCACGAGGGTTGTGAAGACTTGGCCTATTGTACAATAACATGAATGCATGAACAACTGTAGCCGTGGAAAACAGGTCAAGCGGCCCTTCATACGGTTTCGCATGGTAGCGGAGCCATGGCATGAGGTCTCGCTACAATCGTGAGATCTATCAAGATCGGGCTGATCACGCTGGGTACATTTTGCTTGGACGCGTGACTGGTGTCAACTGAACTTTTTACGTCTGGACTGGTGTGCTGGTGGGTTTCATTGGATTCCTGATCGCTTTGTTTTCAGCTGACAGCATGGCGGATGGAACAGAAGCCGCAGGCACACCGGAGTTGCAACAGATCGGCGAAGCTTTGAGACAATTGCTGGCCGAGCAGCAGTCACAGCGGACGCGCGTGGATGATGTGAGCCAGGCAGTGCTGGGCACAGGTTCTGCAGTGCAGGTGACGCAGGCTGTGACAGAGCAAGTGGTTCAGCAGGTGATGACTCAGGCGCAACAGCAAAATCAGGAGCGGATCGGCCAGATCGAACAAGCTCATCAGCAGACGCAGGATCAGTTGACGCAGGTGGGAACCGCCTTGCAACAGATGCAGGAGCAGATGAAGAACATGGGCCAAGCAGTACAAACCGGGCAGCTTGGCGGAGTGGGATCCGGAGGCATTCAGCCTGGGTTGGGCGCCTCGGCATCAGCCGGAAGTGTGGGAGCCTCTCATGGGGCTGGCACGCCTCCAGTGCCGCAGTCGCCATTGAGGGGGAATCTTGTAGGGCCACCAATTTACAATCTTGGTGGAGGTGGCAGTCCTGGACAGCCGAGTGCAGCAGTTGCATATGCCATACAGCAGGGCGGAGTGGATAGCAAGCCTTTTTGCAAACCTTTCAGGAGGGGAAGGTGAGCTTTTTGGATTGGGCTGACAGCATCATTACAATCAGTGATGCAAACATGCCTGGCATGGAGTGGATCATGCAGGAGCAACCGAAGAGTGCCGTGTCGATGGATGCAGTGCTGGTCCGGTTTCCGCATGTGGATCAAGTATGATGACTGAGTACGTACACGGTCGGAGAAGCCAGGAGCATTGTGAGGCAGGCGAGACGGCCGAACGGGCATGAGGCTTTCCGGTTGCTGAATGTGCGGTTCAACCCCAGCACGATTGGGCGGCAGAGAGCAGATCTGATGAAGATCACGAACCCGCAAGCAGGCGTTTCTAATTGGCAGCAGAGGTCGTGAGCTGGGAGAATCTGATCGTGCAGTATTTGCGCCGCCCGGGTGCTGAGCGAGTTTCGGATGCAATGCGGATGGCAGCTTTGGTGCACATGGCGCCTCACATGAATGCAGCTCGCTACACAACGTACATGGAGCTCCGAGAGGAGATCATGAGCTACATTGAGCAGGTCACACCAGCTGCTCACACCACCATGGATGTGGGTTCGGTTGGTGTCGTGAAAGGAGGTGGATGCTTCATCTGTGGAGGACCGCATTTGCAGCGTGATTGCAAGAAGAAGGGCAAAGGCAAAGGAAAGGACGGATCCAAAGGCAAAGCTGCAGGAGGCAAGGATGGCTTCAAAGGTAAGGGGAAGAGCCATGAGAAGGGAGGCAAAGGTGCCGGGAAAGGATCTGGAAAGAAAGGAGGAGGAAAGAAAGGCACCTGCTACAACTGTGGCAAGCCGGGACACACGCGGGATCAATGCTGGAGGGTGAAAGCGCTCAATGCTCTGGAGCAACATGAGACTGATCCGCTTATGTCTCAGCTGCAGTCGTCATTTGTTAAGGCGGCAGCGGAAGAGTATGCAAGGAGGAGAGGAGAGAGCTCAAGCCCCCTGCATCAGCAGCAGCCACAGCAACAGCAATCAGGTTTCCCTTCATCCCCGGTGAGGTCATCAGCCCCAAGCTCTACGATGCCTCCAGCTAGCATGGGCAGTTTGGTGGTTAAGCAGCTTTGTGCTATGAGTGGAATCGCAGCAGGCAACAGCAGCAGCAAGAGGAGGAAGCCAGCAGCAGCCACACCAGTGAGGTGAGGAGAATGAGATGGCCCACAGTGCCAATCGGTTCAGATCGGGGAACGGAGATGTGCAAGATCGTGCAGATCACTGTGGACTCGGGTGCGGCAGCTTCAGTGGCGCCTCCACAGGTTTTTGAGCATGCTTGCGCCGGACAACGGCCTGAGTTTCCTGAGTGCCAATGGTCAGGTGGTGCCCGAGTTGTATCGGGTGAAGCCTACCGTGATGACGGAGGAAGGTCACAAGACGAGGACTGAGTTTTCGGTGGCGAACGTGCATAAGGTCCTGATGTCCGCAGCGCAAGTGGCAAACAGAGGACACAGAATAGAATCCATCTGGCGCCCCATTGGGAGAAGAGTTGGATCGAGGAGATCGGTACTGGGGAGAGGATGGAGCTGAAGCAGGTGGACGGAGTCTACGTTCAGGAGGTGATCGTGATGCCCACGGAGCCGATGGATTTTCCAGGGCCGGCGTTGTGGGTCGGAGATATGGAGGAGTGAATCCGACTCATGAGGAGGCTGTAAGTCCCTGTGGAATCCGCCGTCAACGACCAGTTCCACCTGTGGTGTTTGCGGTAGAGGCGGAGGAATCCCACGAAGAGCAGCCGAAGGCGTATGGTGAGGAGGATGGACATTTGGACATGCTTGAGCCGAGTGTCATGGATGAGGCTGAGAGACGCAGAGGTGTGTTCTGTTTGAACATGCCGGAAGTTCTGGACGACGAGCTCGAAGAAGCGGCCGTTCAGCAGTCTGTGCATGAGGAATTTGAAGAGCAGGGGCAACGCTCCACAATGCAAGAGGTGAGAGATCACGCAGTGTGCCACATGCCGTATCGAAGCTGGTGCGCGCACTGTGTCCGTGGTCGAGGTCGAGCCCGGCCGCATGCTCGGATTAGAGAGGCAGAGGATGAAAAGCTGAGGAGACGGACGCGAGTGAGTATGGATTACTTCTATTTGAGCAAGAAGAAGGATGATGCTTTGCCCTTGCTGGCGATCGTGGATGAGAGTACGCAACGCTTATTCTCGCTTTCACTGCCGTGCAAAGGGATTGGGCATCAGTACAATGTGGCGGTCGTGACCAAGCTGATCAAGAGCTTGGGTTTGCAGAATGGCATACTCAAGACGGACACTGGGAATGCCATAGTGGCCTTGAGGAGCGAGGTGCAGGTTCGACTCCCTGACATTGGATTCGAGAATGCGGTGAAGGGTGAGAGCCAAACCAATGGCCCAGTGGAGAATGCTGTGGAACGCATTGAGGGCATGGTGAGGACTTTGAAGAGTGCACTTGATGCCCGCTATAAGGCACAGGTGCATCCCCGGCACCCGGTGTTGTGCTGATGGTGGATTACGCTGGATCTCTGATTACGAGGTTCAACCGAGGATCGGACGGTCGGACGCCATACGAGCGGTCGACTGGGAAGAAGTGGAATATCTCGCTCCCGGAATTCGGAGAGTGTGTGCTTTACAAACCTTTGAAAGGCGAGGAGAAGGGCAGCAAGATGGAGCCGCGATTTTATCCTGGCGTTTTCTTGGGATTGCAGGAAGCAACGAAACTACGCTGGATTGGTACCGATGCTGGCGTTGCGAGGACTTGGACTATAAAACGGAAACCTGTTGAGGAGCAATGGGTGATGGAGGAGTTGGACAAGGTGATTGGCTTGCCTTGGCAACTGAAGCCAAGTGCAGCCCCAGATGGTACAAGAGCAGGCGCGGCAGCAGAGAAGGAGATTCGCATTGAGTTGGCTCCGGATGATGCATCGGTGCCTGAGCCGGTGGTGGAGAAGAAGCGGAAGGGCTATGTTCCGCGTGGGCTGTACATCCGGAGAGACATTGAGCTGCAGCAGTTCGGGTATACGGCAGGATGTGATGGCTGTGAAGCCGCAAGAGAAGGGTTGGCGCATCGCCAACACACCAAAGCATGCAAGAAGAGGATTGCCGAGGAGCTTGAGAGAAGTGATGAAGGCAAGAAGCGAGTTCAGCAGATGCGAGAAAGGGAGGAACGCTATATTGTGGCGTTCCAAGAAAGAGCTGAACGTGAGGAGCAGAAGAAGAGGAGGTCAGAAGCGGTAGAAGAGGATCGTGCTAAGCGGTCTTCCAAGGTTGAGGGCGCAGCTGAGGAAGACATCGAGATCGACAAGGTCTTGAGGAGTGATCTAGCTGAGGTTCGGCCTGGACGAAGTGAGAAAAGTTCAGGTAGCGCGCAAGCTTCAGCAGCAGCAGCCGGAGGAGATGGAACATCCGCATCAGCCGCAGCAGCTCCCCCGTTTGGGAATCCAGGACGAGGAGTGGTTGACATGGCGGTTGAGGAGGCCGAAGGCGACAGGAGCAGTGGACCTATGCAAGTTGGTGCACTGGAGAGGAGAAGCTACGCAGCTCTGGCCCGGGACATCAGCCTGACCGAGACGGCTGAGCTGATGTTGGATGAAGAGGTGGAAGCAAGGAAGATTTTGTTGCAGGTTGGAGGAGTTTCAGTTCGACAGGCATATTCGCTTACAGAGCCTGTGCTGGTTGAGCTGTATTCGCCCCCAAGGCTGACAGAATTCGCGAGACGCAGTGGTTGTGGTGATGGCTTAGCATTGGACCTGACGGCCTGCGATGGGAACGGAGAAGAGTGGGACTTCACCAAGGAGTCGTGCAGGGAACGAGCCAAGCAACGCATTGAGGTTTTGAGCCCGGACCTACTTTTGGGTTGTCCGCCATGCCATGTACTCGCCATTGCAGTATTTGAATGAGCAGAAGGGCGATTTTGAGCAGAAGCAGCAAGACTTGAAAGATGCTGAATCGCACTTGCAGTATTGTGCCAAGCAGTATGAAGCTCAAATTGATCGAGGAAAGTTCTTCGTACATGAACACCCTGCGTACGCCACTTCCTGGAGTACTGAAGCAATGAAACGTGTGGCAGCCAGAAAGGAAGTATTTTCAGTAATTGGCGACATGTGTGAGCAGGGCATGAAGATCTGGGACGAATATGGCGAGGGCATGGTGCGCAAAACAACTGGGTATTTGACGAACAGTGTTTGTATTGCACAGGAACTGAGCAAGAGATGCAGCAATGATCCTGACGCTTTGCGTATTCACAGACAGAGCCGCAAGGCGGCAAAGTGTGGACAGTTCCCAGGTGCAAATGGTCCTGAGTGGGATCGTGTGAGAAGGCGTGTAACTTTAGATTTGACAAATGGAGTGATTTTGCAAGATCTTAAAGATGTGCACAATGCAGCAACAGCAGATTTGCAGCAGTGCCGGGAGATTGAGACCGTGTTCTATTACTTGGAACCTGGGAAGCAGTGGCACCGGCAAATACCTCTGTTGGGCGGGAAAGCAAAGCAGTTTGAAGTTTATCCCAACAAGCAGTTGCAGAAATTACGACCCATGAATTCTTTGGAGTGTGGGCCAACCAACGAAGAAGTGGATGTGGATCTTTCTTTGGCCCCAGATGATTTGCAGTTGGTGGAGGATGACTGGACAACATTCACAGATGAGGTTTCGGGCAAGGCGCTGTCACGAGAAGGCGTATTGTCTGCTCGAGCGGAGGAGATTGAGTTTGCGAGCCGCTACAATGTCTGGGACCTGGCCCCGGTCGAGGAGGCCTATGCAGCATGTCCATCGGGCCCAATCAAGACCCGATGGATCGACTTGAGCAAGGGAGATGTGGAACACCCTGTTTACCGTAGCAGGCTTGTGGTGCAGGAGATTCGCAATTCAAGCGTTGAGGCGATTTTTGCTGCGACGCCACCGCTTGAGTCGGTGCGCGTGTTACTGAGCATGCAGCGCAGTGGCTGGGAGACTGACAAGAAGGGCAGGCGGCGCAAGGTGATGTTCATTGACATCCGCAGGGCGCATTGGTGTGCACGCATCTACAGTTTGGTTGCCGGAAGAGGCTGGAGCACCACCTGGAACTTGCGGAAGGTTGAACAAAGCAATGTATGGCTGCAGAGACGTTGCAGCTTGCTGGCAGATTGAGATCACGGATTTCTTTACCAGCAATGGCTTCACGCCCGGTCTTGGGAGTCCTGTGCTGTTTGTAATCAAACCCGGGATATTAAGGTCTCAATTCACGGGGACAACATCACGTCTTTGGGTTTTGAGGAGCAGCTGGAGTGGCTTCACGCGAGATTGCTTGAGCGGTATGAGCTGAAATTTGGCGGAATGTTGGGACCAGATGAAACGGATGTGCAAAATTCTAAGGGGTGATTCCCCATTCTTTCGTCACACGCGCACTCAGTGCAACGATCGGTCTTTCCAGCCGGTTTCCAAAGTCACGCCGCTGCAGGCCATCGATCTTACTGGCAGCGTTCTGTTTTCAGGGGCATTGTTCTTTCCCTACAACCATCGTTCTTTCCCCAGGGCCATCGTTCTTTCCCCAACCATCGTTCTTTCCCAACAACCATAATTATTTCCCTTCTTTCCCCACCCCATGATTCTGTCCCCCAGCGTCGTTCTTTCGATCAACGATCAGTGTGTCCCTGTTACTCTGTTTTGCTTTTGCATCTGTTTTGGGTGAAAATTGGAAAACCAGAAAGAATGGGGAAGTATTGTATGAGGCCATATTTTCGGTTAAAACCAATTCTTTCCAAGCATCCAATTTTCTAGGATTTCCGGTCTTTCCTCCCGAAAGTGATGACAACTGCTGCGTGGGCTGCTGCATTGGCCCCCATTGAAAGAATGAGGAAGTGAATTGGAAGCTTGTGGAAAATTGTATCGCGGGCACCGTTGGCCATCAGAAGGATGCTTCAATGCTTGCCGTGAAGCCACGGGCTTTATGTTTGTCAGTGTCGCCTTGGCAATGATTCATGACATGGATGTGGGCAAAATAAGAAGGGCAAGGCTGACCGCCCCTGCTTGGGAGAGGCCTGGTGGGCTGCTCGGAGTCGGCAAAGGGAGAGAATGGGAACAGTTGAGTTTTAGCCTTGCTTGGGTGGACTGCTTCGATGGCAATTGTTGTTGCATCCATTTTGGGGGATAATTGGGTTAGCTCTTCAGAATGCTTGATTCATTACGGGCGAGATGCAACGACGATTGAAGCACATGGCAGACATGTGCAAATTTTGGCGAATGAGTTGAAACTTGAGAGTGCCAAGGTTGTGCAGACGCCAGGTGTCAGCAGCAGCTTGAAAGATGATGATGTGCCCTTGGAAGGGCTGGAAGTGCAGCGGTACCGGTCTATGGCCATGAGGTGCAATTACTTGGCATTAGACAGGCCGGACATCAACTTTGCTGCGAAAGAACTGGCGCGCGGAATGCAATGTCCGAAGCAGAGCCATTTCCAGGGCTTGAAGCGGTTGTGCAGATATTTGGCTGGGCATCCACGACTGGTGTGGATCTACCGAAATCAGGAATTGCCGGAGAAACTGGGCATGTTTTCAGACAGTGATGACGCTGGATGCACAGCAACAAGGAAGTCGACATCGTGTGGGTGCATGATGCACGGTGATCACTTGATTAAATTCTACAGCAGCACCCAGCATGTGATAGCCTTACCTTCAGGTGAGAGTGAGTTTTATGCAGGGATCAAGGCTGGTAGCACTTTGCTGGGCGGTGTATCAACAATGTTGGATTTGGGAATTAGCCTGAATGCAGAGCTTCGACTTGATGCCACAGCGGCAAAGGCAATGCTGAGCCGGCGTGGTTTTGGAAAGGCAAAGCACATTTCAAGGTGCTATTTGTGGTTGCAGCAGAGGATTGCAGATGGTGAGATTGCGTTGAGACGGCTCGGAATCCTGCAGACTTGGGAACGAAACATTTGGACCGGCAGAAGATTGAGACTCTGCTGGAGTTGATGAACTTGAAGTTCGAGGCTGGTCGCCATGAAATGGCGCTCCAAGCTTAGATGTGGGTGATTTGAGTGTGACAAGCACAGCAAATCAAGGAGGCCTGTGAAGACTTGGCCTATTGTACAATAACATGAATGCATGAACAACTGTAGCCGTGGAAAACAGGTCAAGCGGCCCTTCATACGGTTTCGCAAGGGTAAAAACATTTTGCGCGCTTGGAGTTCCTTTCATCACTTTTCCATTTCCTCTACCCTTGTTCCAGGGGCTCTGTTGCAACCCTGCCTGAAAGCAGGCAGTTTGAGAGGTTCTCAAATTTTGCGTTTGGGTCCTGGTGGCAAGCCTCTTTTTTTTCCACCATTCATAGGTGTATTAACCCCCCCCAACAAAGGGAACCAAGCTAGTTCCCTTGGAAGACTGGGGCAGGTCCCCCAGGTTTGCGGAACTCGAATCCCGGATTCGAGGGCATGGATGGCCTCCGGCGAATCGCAGCGGAGTCGCTGCTGGCAGCGGCCAAGGACAGATGACAAGGGGGTACCCGGCAACCATAGGTGCCTTTTTAGGTTGACTTGTTTAGAAATAATTAGCTGGGACTGTTCCAGATAGATTTTACTCCATTTACCATGGCCATCTATGTTTCCAAACGGTCACCTATGCCAGAAACAACCTTGGTTGGTTGTTGTACCTCCCCCCCCCGGGAGAGATTAATTTGGCAGCGTCCCATTGTGGAGGGGTCCCTTTTTAACAGTTTAACAGGAAGACGGAAGGGACACCACCCCTTTTTTGGCCCCCTTACTTTCGACATAGAACCCAGCAAGCCATCATGTTTCGATACCCCTCCTTTTGGGGTCCCCCTTTTGTAATTTACAGGGGGGACAACATTAGCTGCTTGTACAGCGGCCACCATATAGTGCTCTACTAAGCCCAGGGTCTGTTTTCTTGTTGGTGGGGTGACCTCTTAACTCTTTGGATTGTCCCTGGCTCAGGTCCGCACGGGAAGACTTTGATCTCTTTTGAAGTTACTCCACACTTGAAGTTTTATGTTTCGTACGGACACCACAACCAAAAATTTGGGGGTCAGGAAGGCTGCGGGTGCCCTCCTTCAAGCAATCATGGGAGTGGACGGACGATGGGGGAAGTTTGGAAGACTTGCCATTTTGAAAGAAGACAATGTGACAAGCGTCCACTTTTATTGGAGGGGGGTCCAGCCTGGTCCAGATTCTTCATAGGTGTGCGACGCCGGCAGCACATGATTGACAGGGTAGGCCTTTGTAGACTTCTTTATATTAAACTGGTCAAGCAAGAGTTTACTTTTTCTTGGCCAAAAAAAAAGAAGCTGCATCCTGATGGCATTTTCCTGGCCCGAACAGCTTCAACCATTTTCAGGTGGGGAACCCATCACTTGCCCCGAACAGTTAGAGGTAATATACTCCCTGCAGATGAACAACAACCCCGGAGTTTCACTGATTCACCCATTCGCAGAGGAAGCTCCTTGGAATCGGACTTCCCTTTGGGTTACTTCCGGCCAGGGGACTTTTGGTCCTTTCGAGACTCGGGGTCTCAGGACGGGACCCTGGAGAAGGCCCTGCTTCAGGCCAAGGAGGCGGCGAAACGAGTCGTTGCCAATCGGTCCCATTCGCTTTACTTTCTGGCAGTTTTTGTTTTCCCGATGTCCGCGTTGGCTCGGCAGTTGCCGTGTTTTACTGTAAGATTGTTTCATTCTTGTATGTTCCAGAATTGTTGGTTCTGTTCTTTTTTGGCGGGCTGCAACAAAACAACGCGTTGCTTGCCCGCATGCCAAGGATTGGGGATGCTTCCACCCCCTCTGGACATTTAGTTGCCCGTTATTTTCTGGCGAGCTTGGGCGCGAGTGGCCATGATCTAGGTCCTGGAATCAGGGGAATACCTGATTTGGGGCTGGTAAACACAGCAGATTCATGGAAGGAAGCCGAAATGGGTTGCCGCCCCAAGAAATTCCTGAAGGGCCACCCGAAAGCAGATTCTTCTAAGAATCTCTGAGCAGGAGAGTATTTCCAAAACATTCCCTACCAGTACGAAAGGAGTGGCCCCAGAATTGTTCAAGCTCTTGGGGGATGGATTTGGAACCGCACAGGGGAAGCTTCACAAGTGGCCAGATGAGCAACTAACACTTCCAGCTGCATTTGCAGACGCTTTCTTTCCAGCCGTTTCCAAATCCAGAGATTTGGATAGTTGACAAGAGGTGTGGGAGCAGAGGCAGAGGACAAGATCTTTGGTCGAGGTGGGCTGATGGGCAAAAGACTTTTCTGGGCGGCACCTTGTGCCCTGGTTTTCCCGTTTCCTTCGCAAAACGTGAAGTTAGAGTTGTAGCCACATAATAGGTTTTATTGCTTTCTTGATTTTATAATTCTTTTTCGAGGGGTACCTGCCTCATTCTTTCCAGGGATCCTTTGAACACCTCCAGAATACCAGGGACAGCGACCGGGGAATCAACCACTAGAATCGTGGTCTTTCCCACAGCTGCCAGCTCCCGGGCAAATGAAACAGGGTTGTGACCGACTGACTATTACTATAAGGCCCCCTTTTGTGGTTTTGAAGGGAAACCAAGAGGAAATCAGCAATTTCGGGGGGGTCCCCTAAACACAAGCACAAATAGATGTGCATGAATTCTCCTATAATCATGACTTAATTTGGCTTCAAGATATTCCACACCCTCATTTATTTTTTCTGACCCTTGCAGTGATTCTCCGGGTGGGTTTTGGGCCAGGTCTCTCGCTTGGTTTCTCTTTCAGCTGTCAGGATGGCCCGAGCCTGGATTCGCTGCGCATGCAGGCGAGGCTGCGACTGGAATTCGGTGTGTCTTCTTTTTCTTGAGCTACCCCTTCGGGGGTTGCTTCAAAGGAAATTCATTTTGAGAGAACCCACTGCTAAGTGCGGGCTTCCGCCATATGCGACCACAATCCAAACATATATATATATATGCATTTGGGGACAGCTGAGGTATAGTTGAGCCTCTTTCTCAGAGCGATCTGAATTCCCGCCCAGTCTAAAAGAGATGGCTATGCATCAACGCTGAAGCTACCCCGCAAATGGGTGGCTCTTCGCTTTTTCCAGAAAGGGTACACTCAGCAAACTAGAATGAAGCCTTTCCGTAGCTGCCAATGAATAATTCTCCCCTTGATTGTGGCTTTCGAGAGGTCCAGCATTCTATCTCTCTATTCCCTTCTGTATTCACGGTTTACCTTCATTGGCGGTCAATTAGTGAGACGAGAGACGCGAGGGAACGGTCTGTCTCTCTCCCAACTCTTGAACCGCTATTACAGGAAGGTTCCAAGAGACACAGAAGATAACAGCCAAGGAGACAACCAAAAGACACAAAGAGAAGGGAAGAGAACAGGAATGAAATGATGGTCACCTTCCCACTCATCCCTCTCTCTCCGTTCGTTTGGATGAGTTCCTGAGCCACCAGTTGACCGCTATCACCCGCTCCATCCTGTTCGCTCTCTTACACTCACTCATCCATCTCTTGGTTACTTTTCCCTTCACAGCCTATTTCTGGATGAATCCCCAACACGGCAAAGAGAAAGAGATAGACAGGGAAAGCATAAGAAAGACATAGATAGAGAAATGCTTTCCTTCCTGTCTTCTTCATCTCTTCACTCTATCACCACAACTCCGTTCGTCTCCGTTTCTCGGTTCAAGAGGAGAGAGATAGAAGGTAACATGTGAATGAAGAAAGTAACCCAAAGGCTTTCATTCACACCTTCTCCTTTCCATAGCTACCTTTGGGATTACATGGAAAGGGTGATGAAGGAAAAAGTATTTATTGCCTGGCATGCGAGTCAAGTGACAGCTAATAATATATTTCTTATCACCTGGCTTTTTATCTTCTAATTGTCTTCTTTTTAATAATCTTATATTTTTATTAGAACTGTAAATGACAAGGTACCAAATATAAAAGCATTTCATTCGGGTTAACTGTTCTTTTTTGGAAAAGCAAAGATACAATAATCTGGAAGACAAGTAAAAAGTGAAAGATAGTGAATAATAGAAACAAAAAAAGAGAAGGACGGAATATCATATTTTTAGTATTTTATTGTTTGGTTTTTATTAAGAATCTGATATGCGAGACAAGCCCTGGTAATAAGATCTTGATTTTTTACGACATTAAGATTATTATTTCCCTAAAGAATGCTTTTATTACGGTTAAAATCCCAGATGTTACACCAAACGCACAAAATAGAAAAGGTAAATGAAAGAACGAGAATAGAGACAAATAACCTTGACATGATAACTCTTTTAACTTGCTTTTACTTTAGGATCTTATTTTCAATCACATTTCTTTTTTATTCGGCATCATGGATGCGCCACCCGGCCAGCCAAAGCCAAGTGCGCAGGCCGCCGAGACACTGCTGCGTGCAGCGGAGGATATGGGAAGTCCTTTGGGTTGGGGAGTTTAACAGTCCCAATATTTCCCCGTTACACATGTTCGTCGCAGCAGCACGTCATAATTGTGGAAGATAACAGCCAAAATAAATTCCATTACCAGTTCCAGCTAGAACTGGTGTTAAGCAAAGGCCCTTATTTGTTTTTGCGTTTTAGGAATTTAAGTTCGAACGAGCAGGCGAGTGATTCCAATCAAAACAAACTCTGATTCCATCAGGCTCTGTTATTTCTTTGGAGTTCGCATATTTTGGACTTATCTCGGGGCCCTGTGGGCTACAGCCCTCTCGGCCAGCGGGTTTCGAAGTCTTGTCTCCGAGGCGTGAAGCCCAAAACCCCAAAAGCAAGCGCTGTCTGAGCAGTACTCGGCCTCGCTGCTGAGAACCGGATCTGGACCCCGCAGACGGTGGCTTTTCAGATTTCCATTTAAACCAACCTCAGAAAGGGCACTCAAGAACCCCCACGCCCATTTATTTCCCCCCACTCCGAAACCGCAACACCGGTTGTCGGGGGCTGATCGCGAGGACGGCACTTTGGCACAGGCCTTGGGCGAGAGAGACCTCGAGGCCCTCCGCCAGGACTGAGCTGGCTCTGTGGGCTCCCGTGGGCTCCCGTGGGCTCTCGTCTTCCCTTGCGGGTGGGTTCATGTGAAAAATGATCTTGGCAACCAAAAAAGGGGGTTCCTTTCCCCAGGGTCAGGATCCCGAAGAACTATCATCTTGGTGGCTCTTTAGCTTGACCTTCATGTTTCCAAACATTTTGGGAGAGAAACCCTTTTGCAATGGTTCTGCAAGGGGTGGATCACCAGCAATCCCCGGGCCCTCGCAACCTCCTCTATTCAGCTTGTCAGGTGCACAATTGCCACAAGAAAAGTAGGTTGCCACATTGCAGGACAGCGGAGGGGCTAAGTGGCAACGTCATTAAACATCATTCCCTTCTGATCAATAGTTTGCTTTGACGCACCCCCACAACCCCGTTTTCCTGCCCGCTGCCACTGCCAGGAAGCGGCGGGTGCGCTTTTGCGTGCGGCCGAGGATGGGACTTTGGAGCAGGCGCTTACGAAGCAGACGGAGGAGACAGGGCCGCTGGGGAGAGGGGCGTCCGACGTCGGAGGGACGGTGGAATGCACGGCCCATGGCCAGCATGGGCAGGTCAGGTGCCAGGATATTGACGGGATATTGCAACAGGATTATGTCTCACGCGTTGTTTTTGGCTCAAGGGTGCCAAGAAGGTGCCCAGATCCCCAAAGGGGGCTTGTTGCCTGTCAACTTAACTTCGTCCCATTCAGCTCGGGACCGGGTCCCGGCCAAAGGACTTGTGGGCCGGTGGAAGCTCACGTCGAAGGGCGAATGTTTTGCGCAGGTTTGCAGGTCAAGAATCAAGAGTCAAGAGGTTCCTTGTTGGAGATGTTCGTAGGTTGGCTGATTTTGTTTGACCCTTGCCAAGCTGTGGAATCCGAACGCAGCTTCCACCGGACGGCTGCCGTATCGTATGGCGCGGCTCATCCTCTTTCTCCTCCGCCCCGCCTGGGCGGAGAGGCTGCCTGCCGGGGAGCGCAGTGTCTTTGAACCCACGCCCCTCACTCCCCGGGTTGGACTTCGAACTTGTTGAGCTTGTGTCAATTTTTGCTGGGCCCACTTGGGCGGAAGGGACGTTCCCTTGGCCATACAAAAAGGATTCCTACGTTTCCAACTTTTGGGAAGCCTCCCTATGGATTGTTGGCAGCTGGAACCTCGGAGAAACGACTCAACCGGCGATTCAACCAAATGTTTCTTGCTTAGCTGGTTGGGAAAAAATAATGTGGCGCAAAAAGACCTCAGGGTTTGGCTTTGTGATCTCTTTCATGAAGGTTGGTCTCATAAATCGGGATTGCTGATGTTCAGATGCAGCTTGTTGAGGGTTCCGTACATGCCCCTCTCAACATCCCCTCACCAACAGCAAGCTAAACTTCAATTTACTGGGAATCGCCCAGAAAGGGACATGTAAGGACCCCAACTTGGTGAACCAAATTCGAGTGGGCGAGGGGTGATGGTTGAGGCCCGGCTTTTCGAGGGCTCGAAGGAGCCAGAGCTGCCACAGCTACCTGACTGCGAAGGCGAGACGTTCCGAGCACCCGGGGTCCAAACCTTTGGCTTCGGGAAGCCAAGAGGAAACTCAGTATTCTCAAACCTTGGGTTTAATGAGAGGGTTGAGGCCATTGCAATTTTGAGTAGCGCCTTAAGCACGTCGGAATACATTGGATCTCTATCAACTCAGTTGTACAAAGCCGACCGTTTGACCTTTTGGTGCTCCCTTTTCGGTCCATCCGTTAGTCATGGCCCCAAAAGGTCAACCTTGTATTCCTAGGCCCTTTGGGCAACTGAAGGTCGACCTTTAATCTGGGAGGGAGTTTCCAAGATTGCTTATGTCGGGGTTGATTTCATCGCCGAAGCTGCCTCATTCACCCGCAGATCCATGCTTGAGAGTTGGTGGCAGAGTCTGTCGGCAAGTGAAGAGGATGTGGACAACAACTCGTGGAAATCGTTCCCGTGAGTCATAGGATCCGACCCCCCTGCCGCGTCACACCCTCCCCTCCCTCCCCTATTCTCTCCCCCCCAACGGATTCCCCTCAACAAAGGCCTGGAAACGGTCTTCTTGAGGATCCGTCAGGCGGTTCCCCTGTAGGCTTCCTCACTCAGCCTCAAGAAACATTTACACATCAATCAATGCACTTCATGATAGTTGGTGGGGGGTAAAGTTCTAACTTCGCTGCAGAAGCAGGTTGCAAGGGTAAATTGGACCCGCAAAACAGCAACATCCGATATCCCAAACAAGCAGATTGCAAAGGAGACCCTAAGTTTCTGCCATACCCTCTCTCCCACCCCGTCCGTGAGGTCGGAGAGGAATTTCGAGATCTCTAAGCCACCGACTATTTAAGTTTGATTGGGAGACTCGTGGGAGGGGCGTGACTCCTCATAGTCCCTCTATGGCTTGTATTTGTCATCACCGACGCATAGCAACTAAGCTGCAACGGCCACCTCAAAATTTAAAATCATAGCGGGCCTGCCGACCCAACCGCAGGCGGCGTTCTGCGCTTGGGCTCGGGCCAGTACCGCGTGGCGGAGGAAGGGGCTCAGTGGTCTTCACCCTGCGCCCTGGAGGCTTGGTATTGGGGAGGCCTGAAGGTCAGACCTTCAGGCGATTCCCCCTTTCAATTTTTTGGAGGGGGTTTCCCCCTTTAGAACCAAGTTGAACAAATGGGGTTGCCTGGGCCGGAGAAAAGTCCACTGCTGTGGCCAGGCAGACGGGGCCCAGATCCTGCTGGACGGGCCCTTGCTGGCCGAGGGCAATCTGACCTTGCCCGGGCCTTGGCTCGGATTCCAAGCCCTCCCTCCCAAAATAAGTTCTTATCGAGAGAAACCAGATTGAAGGGGCAGACCGACCTGTTGGGCGAGAGTGTTTGGAAGAGGGTGGTAAAACCGGATTCTGCAGATACGTACGATTTCTCAGAAACACTGCGACTCTTGACATAAATCTCCACCCCTTTAGCAGCATGGCATTTGGGAAGCCATTCGGATTCAGGTCGGCAGCTTTTGTACTCATATTAGTTGGGTTACAACGCTTACCACCCTTTGGATGCGGGACTCGGTGCCTGCCCCTCTTAGAGCGTGTGAAGTCCCTGGGCGAGCCCCGTTGTTTCTCAGGTGAGGGTTATCCCTAGTTTGCGGGGAGGGGGGGGGGCTCAGGAGCTTAAGTCGCTCGATTTTTTACACTGGCTTAAATGGTGAGCGTTATGGTGAGTGGTAGGACTGCTGTTTGACTCCAGCAGAAGCACTCATCGCTACGCGCTCCGAGAACAAAGGGCTATCAACTTTAAATGGTTGGAACGCCTTTTCAAGGCAGCGACTGAATCCAACCATGTATTACTGGGTATGTGTCATGGGCGGAACATGGAGCAGCGACCAGCACTCGCAGAAACACACCCGATGTGCCTCCTAGTAAACAGGGTTTCCAATTTTATCCCTTTATTTTGAACATCGCATGGGCGAAATTGAAGTGAGTGTCCTTTTTGGGCGATGTTTGATGAGGAAGTATACGGAGTTTTTTTTTTTTTTTTGGTTTGCATCCAGGCACAAGTCAGTAACACTCACTGGCTTCTTCGTGCCCCTTCGCTTTAGGCGGGGCTCGCTCCACTTCACTGGCCGCAACAGCTTCTTCCAGGTGGGGTCCCCGCTTGAAACATCGGTTGTCACCTTTGGGGCTTCCCTCCAAGGTTTGCTCAATGGTCAACATTGCTCACTTTCGGTTCGGTGGGGTGAATCTTTCCCCTTTTTCCCTTGATTGGTGCGGTCCCCGCTATGGGGTCCAAAAACCTTTTTGCTGGGTTGAGCGCGCACGTGGAATGAATCCCGTCCGGAGCAAGCCGAACCCTGGCAAAGACCTTTCGATTTCGACTGGTAGTGATCTATGCAGAGCCATCCGAAAATGACAAAAGGGTGAGATCTGCAAATCCAAGCGGGCGAGAGGTTCCCTGTCAGAATCTTGTACTCATTGTATGACAGTATTCGAAACCCTTTTGTCATGTCAGCTTCCACAAGATCCGCTTCTGGGGCATCCTTGGCAGCGTCAAAACAGGGCGGCGGGTGGGGGGACACATTGTAGGGATGAAATCCGGAGCGCCCTCCCAAAGTTTGAAAATCCATAGAGGGTCAGGTTTGCGAGTGGCGCTTCCTCCCTTCGCAGGCCTGCGTTCATGTGGGCGGCGACCTTCAAGTGCATGGCGCCGTGTCTGTCAGCAACTGCTCTAATCTCAGAAAAGTCAGAAAGGACAACACACGAGGCGCGGGAGATCGCCCAGGCTTGAAGTTCTTCAGGGGATAGAGGACCTTTCATTTTTGTCGGCCATCCAAGTGAAACGTCAAAAAGGTTTTTTTTTGTTGTTTTCGTTGTGGGTCGAGAATCTTGGACCCCTTGAACTTTCAGCCAGAGACGCGGGCCTGTATCCCCAGAAGGGCCGCGGGACCCTTTTTCAGAAGAGACAGTGCTTCCTTTCTTGGGTGTTTTACACTTTTCCAGATGCGTGCCATCCCCACATTGTCCCGGCCTCTATGGAAAGCTTGCTGGCCGTTGCCTGCGCCACAATCAAGCCTGAGTGGAGGAAGGTTCTTGCGGGGGACAGTTCCAATCATAAATTATTCAAGAGGTTCGAACTTCTGCAAATCTGGTTCTTTACCACCCTATGCTTCCTCGACTATTTTTTAAATAGGGGCTGTTCAACCCCTATTTGTTGCATTGACAACCCCTATTTTTTGACATGAGCCTTTGGGTCCATTTTGGGTTGTTACTTTGTTTTTATCGAAAACAACGCCTGCTATTGCAACCTCTTAAGTAGCCTTGGGAGCCAGTAGATTACTATTTAAGATAGGGTCATCGGGGCCCTTTCGTGTTTGCGCAATGCACTGGCTGAAAGTCTTGCGTAGACGGAGCCTTCATTCTAGCAAATTCTAGATGTTTTCTCTGCAACTTGCGCAGGTGGCACGAACAACAAGCAATTTTGCGCTTGTTTCTTCCGTTCCAGTTTTCACTCAGCTCCAAAAACGACGTGAGCGTAGACAAACCGTAGACAAAGCGTAGAAAAACCGTAGAAACACAATTTTTTGGCGTAGAAACACTATTTTTTGGCGTAGAACCACTATTTTTTGACGTAGAACGGGCAACTTTTGCAGGGGACCCAGAAGATCAACATTCTCATCCTGGAATGGTTGCTGTGATGTGTAGATATTTTTGCTGTCCCGTTGTTTTTTGGCTAAGAAGGTGGGGCACAAGAAGGACAGAAACGGTGAAGAGGGTTCACCCTCACGCGCTGCATGGCCATGTTAAGAAACCAAGCAACATAGAAGCCAACATTAGCCTTGAAGTTTGTAAATCATATTGCTGCACGTGAAAATACATATTCAGCTTTGGGATCCTATGCAGCGGCCTTAGCGTCAAGTGTTTCCTAGCCCTTGTTCCAGTCCAAAACGGAGGCTGCCGCTCGTCATCAAAAAATAGTCTTTATCAACAACAACCGGGGTTGTCACAACGACTATTTTTTAAATAGGCTTTGGAAGCATAGGGACCATGGGTTTTGGATGTTTTGGGTAGGCTGATTTGGCAGCTTGTGATTTTGACTCGCCTTTTCCCGTGCCTTTCCCCCTCCTGCCCCCCCCCCCCCCCCCCACTCCCCCACGCGCACGATGCGAGACGGCGGATGCGTGCGCGCCTGGCGCCTGGAGATCTTGCCCACGGGACGCCTGGACCTTCGGAACTGCTCTGCCGCCCGTGCAGGCGGAGGCGGGGATCCTTGGAAAACCCTGCAATATGGGTGTGTACAAATGCACCCTCCAATGTCGAAAAACAATCATAGAACCTGCACAGGGGCCCGCTTAAAAGGATAATTGTCTGTTGATTGTGCGAGGGTAGGCTTTTCCTTAAAACCAATTCAAAAACAAGTTGTGCTCAAATAACTCTCTGTCTGGGCTCGGTGTGCTTCTTGCCTGTTTACAGTTTGAGTGAGCCCATAGCCCTTCATTTTCAAATATAAGTTAGACCCCTTGCTCTTACTTGGTGCGACCCGCGTTGCGTTCTGGGTGGAGAGGCAGGCAGGCTCTCACGCCGCCGAGTGGTATGAACTATGAAGAGACTTGCTTATCTTAAAGGTGGCAGGTCCCAACGTGTCCGGCCTGGAGGACGAAATGCCTCGTGAGCGCGCCCTGCTCACCCATCTTCTTAATGAAGTTGAGAAAGTCACGCCAAGCCACCAGAACATCCATCTGCGGCACGTAGCACAACCAGCTTGTTGAGAGAACCTTCTGCTCCGGTATTATCCGGCCTGGCCTGAAGGCACAAGACGATCTGATAGGCCAGAGCTGCGCAAGAGCTTCCCATGCAGAAACCATAGCTTGCGCACTATCAGATGGCAAATCCGACATCTGGAAGTCGGCCAAAGACATGCGCAGAGCAAAGGGGACCAAGCGACCGTCAGGCCATCTAACATAACCGCCCACCAGTCCGATTTCACTGCCGCACGCGTTTGCTGCCGCATCAAGCGGGAGACGTGCAAATGGTCGCTGCTGCACAGGTCTACCTGAAACACCTTTGTCAAAATCGCAGGTGCTCAAGTGTCCGGACAATTGACCTGGCTGAGTCTCAAGACATCTGACGCGCCCGGCCGGCCTTTATGGCTGAGTCTAAAGACATTTAAAATGTTGTACTGGATTCGCCTGGCTGGCCATCTCCTGAGACCGGGGTGAGAGACCTCTGATGAAAATGGCACCCTGGTGAGAATGGCAAGGGCGGGCGAAATGGACAATTTGAGCTGCGGTGTGCTGTTGTCCCCCTTCGACTCTTTGGGGTCTTTTGGGCAGAAGTTTGTTTGGGGCCCTCCTTTCGGTTTGGCAAGGGAGACACGTCCTGCTGCACGAGTGAGTTAGAGAGAGAGAGAGAGAGAGAGAGAGCGAGAGAGCAAGAGTGACTTGCGATTGGATTGCATTCAGTGTGCGTCACGGAGTTTTGGAGCAAAGCCCAGAAGTTTCCGCAATGGCAACTGTGTTACTTTCGTGTGCTGAGATGTTGTCTCCGGAGGCAATCGAAGCAATCAAAAAGGAAGCCGGGGGTTTGCAAAAGGCGCCTCTGGGCACCCTGGTCAGTTAGTGACTTTTGCGCCCACAAGCTGTTCTGAATTTGCTAAGCACTATCAAAAGCAGAAAGGGCGCATAGTCTATCGTGGCGATTGCGCAAAGGAGGAGTATGGTGCCGCAGCTGTGTGTCAGGAGCGGCCCCCCACTTCCGTAGATGCAGCAGACGCATGCGTTCAAGCATTCCTGAAGTCGGGTTAAAAAATTACACCAGCATAGACCCCAGATAGCACACCACGGCGGCATGATGATGATGATGTTGACAGCATCTTGATGATGTTGACAGCATCATGAAAATACAACAGCTACTCAGCATAGTGCGCTACATAGACGCGCAGACAACGTCCTAGTGAGTCCATCTGCAAAACAATGCTGTTGACAGGGTGATGCTGACACATCAGCCACAAACGATTCCGCGCTACATATCTAGCAGAAAAAAGGCAGAGACGACGTCCTGATGAGTTCGACAGCATCATGATGATGCGGACAGCATCATGATGATGTTCACAGCATCATGGTGATGGCAACGGCAGCATCCTGATGATACCACAGCCACAAATCATCTCGCGACCCTGATGTTGACAGCATTATGCCCGCCACCACACCCGCAAACCATAACACGGCACCGCAGCGATTGCAGCAGCATCATAACGTGGTTGACAACATCATGATGACACACAAGCCACGAACCATTACGCGCGACAGTTAGAGCAGCAACAACGTCCGAATCAGTTCAACAGCATCATGGTGCTGCTGACAGCATCATGATGCTGCGGCCAGCATCAGGATGATGCGACAACCACGATACCTCAAACAGCACACGCCCTAGCACCCTGCCATCCACATAGTACGTGACGGCAGGGTGCTCGGGGACATGTCCGGCGCTGGCGCGGGTGCTGCGTTGGGGTGGTAGCACCTGAGCTGAACAGCACTCATTAGAAGTCTATGGTTTCCAGTTATCCGGGAAATAAGCCCACACGGTCAGCAGCGCCTCCAACAGCAACACAAAACAGCACCTGCACCGCCACCCCAAACTGCACGCCCCCTCGCGCCCGGCCGTCAATTTCGCAAAGCGGCACCTCCACCAGCACCCGAGTGACCCCTAGCGCCCGGCCGTCAATCTCGCAAAACAGCACCTCCACCAGCACTCCAAACTACATGCCCCCTAGCACCCGGCCGTCAATCTCGCAAGACAGCACCTCCACCAGCACCCGAAACTGCATGCCCCCTATCTCGCAAAGCGGCAGCACCCGAAACTGCATGACCCCTAGCGCCCGGCCGTCAATCTCGCAAAACAGCACCTCCGCCAGCACTCCAAACTGCATGCCCCCTAGCACCCGGCCGTCAATCTCGCAAAGCGGCACCTCCACCAGCACCCGAAACTGCATGCCCTCTAGCACCCGGCCGTCAATCTCGCAAAGCGGCACCTCCACCAGCACCCCAAACTACATGACCCCTAGCACTTGGCCATCAATCTCGCAAAACAGCACCTCCACCAACACCCCAAACTGCATGCCCCCTAGCACCCGGCCGTCAATCTCGCAAGACAGCACCTCCACCAGCACCCGAAACTGCATGCCCCCTAGCACCCGGAAGTCAAGCTCGCAAAACAGCACCTGCACCAGCACCCCAAACTGCATGCCCCCCAGCACCCGGCCCTCAATCTCGCAAATCACTTTCCCTTCTTTATTAGAAGTTAGAACCCCTATAGCTTTCAGCTATCTGGGGAAACATGGGTTTCCCTACCTCCCGCACTTAGGTGTCGCGATCGCTTCCAAAAGTCAGTGGTCTCTTGACCAAGGCTCTCTTTGGACATCCGTATGCTGATTGGAATCTTGAAACGGTATCGTGTTTTAGGTCGTACTTTCTGTCCCGAGGGATCCTTTTTTTTGCGTGGAGGAAGGCAAGACACAAGGGGAGGTAGGTTCTTCAACGCCCGACATCGTCAGGCCGACCGGTGATCTCGCAACGTGCGTGAAAAAGTGGTCTAAGAATAATGACCGCCAATTACTGCGGTTGATTTCTTATATAAACCCGGCTGCTTGCACTTATGCGTCGGCCGGAGCTGTGCTTGATGAAACGGAACAGTCTGCAACTTGCGCCACTTGCGTGGCTAAGTAAGAGGCATGTGTCGGTTTCCCCGTCAATTTCCCCCGCTCACGCCTCGAACAAGGAGGCCTTCCCGCCCGGGGCTTGTGGGAGAAACTCTTAGGTCGAAAAGCCAACCTTTCCTTACATGAAGATATTCAAGCAGCTTGAAAGGGCTCTCCTTCGCTGGGGCGAGCAACCGTCCCGTAAGGTGAGCCTAGCGTGTCTCGCTGAGCAGCTTACACCACTGTGTGTGCCTTGAAAACAAAAGCACTTGCGGCAAAAGTGGGATCACGCGCTGAGATTGCTAGGCGTTCGAACTGATTTGCTTGCGGTGCTTGTAGACTATTTTTAATGTCCGCGGAAAGGCAAAGTGAAGCTTTAGACGCTTTGCAGACTTATGGCCTGATTAAAGCGCCACATATCTTCTCTTGCTAGTTGCTGCCTCCCGTGCGACTTCAAGTGCTTAACCAACTTGCGTCTGCGGCCCCCACTGGCACGTGCAATGCAAAACCATTAAAGCAGTAGGGCGGTCATTGTTTTGAACCTCTAGCATTGCCAAGGAAGCCCTTGAAGTGAAGCATGGACGCAGGAGTGCTGCTGGCAAGAGGGAATGAACTTGCGTCTCCGCTCGGTGGTTTACTTTTGGCAGATTAAGTTGCTGGTTCTCAATAGAAATTTCAAGGTACTTTTTCACGTTTCAGTGAGTTTTCTTTCGATCAGATGACCTCTGTTTCTGCGGCACTGCTCCGCGTCCACTTGTCAGATGGCAAGCCATCAGATGCCCTGGCGAGGCCTATACGTGGGTGGCGGGGGCCTGGACCAGGACGGCGCCCTAAGCATTTTTGACGGCGCAGCGCACATGGCAGGCTGCGCCGCAGTGACAGGCAACGGGTCGCGGGCGCGTTCAGAATGATCTTCAGCTGTCAAAAAGGGAAGATTTTGGTAGGTGTTGACCCCGAAGCAAACAAGCGTTCGCAACTTTCAGTTTGCCTTGCAGGTGATGCGTTATCCTTCTCACGTGGAATTTCCAAGCAGCGCCGGCTACGCCTCTTTCTTCTGAGCTTTTAATTGGGACTGCCAAGTTGCATGGAAAGTGAAGTGCCGTTTGGTTAGTTGGGTTTCGCCCCCTTGTCTAAAGGAAACAACCCAAGCCAAACACCGTCAAGTTCTCTAAGAATTTCCGTGTCGGCCTTCGTCCGCACACAGGCCTCTGGCGCCACTCGGGCTCCACCAAAATGTCCAACTGCTCTGCGCGTGGTGCTGGAGGTGGGTCGCTACGGTCGAGTGTTGGGGGAACCACTGCGCGTACCTGAACTGGGCTCACAACCCTTTGTACCCTTCGTGGTTTGGAACTGGCTAGCGTTGCTGTTATCGGTATTGACCTTACAAGAGGAAGTGGTGTATTTCTCATCGACCACTGCGACAAGCGTTGCCACATTTGTTCACGATTCTTAGGGAAATTCAGGCAAGCCCTGCCATTGCTGTTGCTGATGCTCGCGATGGGAATGCCAGTGCGAACTCATCAAGATTGGTCGATTTCATCATGGATCTCCTACAAGCGTCTATGAAGCACAGGTCGAAGTCACCATCCTGCCCGCGAGCATCGCTCAACTCACGCGGACCCTTCATGAGATGAAGGCTGAAGACTATGTCAGCGTGATAAGAATCGCGGAGCTTGAGCGAAGCAGAGATATTTACAAGAAACTCACTGAAACGCAGGCTTAGAGAGACATGCTGAGGAAGCGGACCTCGAGCATCTTTCCAAGTGTCGAAGCTGGAAGACGCTTGACGGAACATGGAAACCAAAGCCAAGACTGAGAAAAAACTATGACGAGGAGCGTATGCCCATCAAGAAGCTCATAAGGAAGCAGCAGCAGAGGAGTATACAGCGTAGAGAGCCAAACGGTACTATTCTACAATCAACGACAAAATCTCAACCCTAAACTGAAAGAGGAGAAACGGAGATTGGTGGAGGCTGACGATGCGCTGATGAAGCAGGTTCGAGGTTAAGGGGCGCGAGATCTCAGATCCTTGTGGAGCGAAGCTGCGTTCAACAGCTTTTTGCGGAGGCAAGAGCGCGAAGCAACTAGGTAACAATGCTAGGAGAAGAAGAAGCGGAGGAACAGGAAGAAAATAAAGATGTGGATCGTCATCCAAGGAAAAGACTAGAAGATGGGTGGCCCGAAAGCATTGGCGGCGGCAGCAAGTTCTCCTAGCAATCCTAGCACGTTCTCCGCGCAGTTGCGCGTCTGAGCAAGTTGTCGGCGCGAGTTCCTCTGAGCAAGTTCTCCAAGCAAGTTCTCTGTGCAAGTTGCTCTGAGCAAGTTGTTGGCGCGAGTGCCTCTGAGCAAGTTCTCCAAGCAAGTTCTCTGCGCAAGTTGCTCTGAGCAAGTCGTCAGCGCGATTTCCTCTGAGCAAGTTCTCCAAGGAAGTTCTCTCAGCAAGTTGCTCTGAACAAGTTTCCTCTATTCGCGAAACACTTTCGTACTTAAAAGTTGCGATTTTCCAGCCGGAGCTGCGAAAGTGCACTTCGCGCTCAAAAGTTGCGCCGGAGCTGCGAAAGTTTACTTTGCGTACTACTTTCGTAATTAAAAGTTACGATTTTCCAGCCGGAGCTGCGAAAGTGTACTTCGCCTACTACTTTCATACTTAAAAGTTGCGATTTGGAGCAGCCGCGGACCAGGGGGGAATTGAATTTGCGACCGCGGGATTGCGAAAGCAGGCGCGCAAACCACGAGACAACTTCAAAAGGCCATTTCGCGAGCAGTAAAATCGCACGGCGCCACAGCGAGAGCGCTTCGACACGCACAATCTCCGCAGAGGGTTCGCTGAGACGACTAAGACGAATTCGCACGGCGCCACACCGAGAGCACGTCGACACGCACGATCCCCGCAGAGGGTTCATCCGCGCACCGCAAAAACGCAAAAAGAACAACCTCGAGCTTTTGCACCTCGGCAACGCCGATCCCCGCAGACGGTCGCGCCGGCACCGCAGAAACGCAAAACCCAAAAAAAACAACTTCGAGTTTTTGCACCTCGACCACGCCGATCCCCGCAGACGGTCGCGCTGGCAGATCAGAAATCGCAAAAAAGCCTCGAGTTTTTGTACCTTGACCACGCCGATCCCCGCAGAGACGCAAAACACCCTTGAGTTTTTGTACCTCGACAGGGTCGTGCGGGCAGATCACAAATCGCAAAAAACTCGAGTTTTTGTACCTCGACGCCGACCCCCGCAGAGGGTTCATCCGCGCACCGCAAAAAGGCAAAAAGCCTTGAGTTTTTGCACCTCGATCACCCCGATCCCCGCAGAGGGTCGCGCGGGCAGATCAGAAATCGTAAAAAATCCTCGAGTTTCTGCACCTCGACCATGCCGATCCCCGCAGAGGGTTGCGCGGGCAGATCCGAAATCGAAAAAACCTTGAGTTTTTGCACCTCGACCACGCCGGGTCGCAAACCCGATCGACGATGCAAGTCCTGCCCCGGCGCTCTAGAAAGCTAAACTTAACTTACATAGCTACTAACGCCGAAGCGATATGCACTTGGCTCTATGCACTTGGCTCTATGCACTTGGCTCTATGCACTTGGCTCTATGCACTTGGCTCTATGCACTTGGCTCTATGCACGGCTCTATGCACTGCACTTGGCTCTATGCACTCGGCTCTATGCACTCGGCTCTGTGCACTCGGCTCTATGCGCACTTGGCTCTCTATGCACTTGGCTCTATGCACTCGGCTCTATGCACCCGGCTCTGTGCACTCTGCTCTATGCACTTGGCTCTATGCACTTGGCTCTGTGCACTTGGCTCTATGCACTTGGCTCTATGCACTTGGCTCTATGCACTTGGCTCTATGCACTTGGCTCTATGCACTTGGCTCTATGCACGGCTCTATGCACTGCACTTGGCTCTATGCACTCGGCTCTATGCACTCGGCTCTGTGCACTCGGCTCTATGCGCACTTGGCTCTATTTGCACTTGGCTCTATGCACTTGGCTCTATGCACTTGGCTCTATGCACGGCTCTATGCACTTGGCTCCATGCACTTGGCTCTATGTATTTGACTCTGCGCAAGTGACTCTATGCAAGTTGGTCCGAGAGCTCCGCGCGGAACAGCCCTTCGCGATGCTTTCGGGAAAAAGAAATACCAAAGAAGTTGAAAGGGTCATGGCGCCGCCAGGGCCCAAAGTTACGCAACTCGATAATTAACGGGAGACTCACGTTGACGATGCATATTTGGAGTGCATCAACTGACCCAGATGTCAAGCTGGGTGCACAAGGATGCTGAGAGCGAGAGAGCCACGACATGACTGAAACCGTGCGTGTAGGTGAGAAACCCACACATCACCACCCTTGGCTGAGTATCTTACTTTCGGTAGATATGGGGGTGATTTTTTGGGACCAAACCCCTGGCTTTATCGGATCTGCCTCGAGTGCTCTTAAGAATCTGGCAACATGGCTTTGTCAACAACTAGTTGGATTCCCCCAGATGATGCGCTTTCACTTGTTGGGGGCGTCTACATGGTACGGAAAGTGAAACAGGCTCGAGCAGGTGCCGCCAAGCACGGAGCTTGTTGTGACGTGCGGAGTCGGGAGGCTTCGTTCCACAGGAGCAAAGGTCAATATGAACATGGAGCCCACAACCGCAAGGAGATTCCTCCAAAAATGATGGCTTTTCAGTATTCACGCAGCCCAACAAATAGCGCCTTGACTTGGGAATTTTGGTGGGGTCCCGCCCCCTTAACGTGCCAACTTGCACACCCATTGGAAAACTTGTCAACTCTCCTGAAATTTCGAGGCGGCGCCTTGGCGAAGAGTGGCCTGCAGCTGAGAGGCGGCGAGATGCAGCTGGCAGACTGCCGCGCGGAGGCGCGGCAGAGGCCAGGTCAGGTCAGGTTGGGGCTGATCAGCCGGAGTTTATTTTATGCTGCAGTCCTGGAACCAACCCGCTTCTGGCCAGCTGATTTGTGATTTTCCTAGTATGTTCATCCATACCAGCTGGCGCCAGATTTTGCGCATCCACAGGACATAGACTTGGAGTTGCACGGGACGTTGCGGGCTTTTCCTGTTCGAGGTGGTTTTGCAGGACCAAGCCGCAAAGGAAGTGGTTGTGAAGTAGAGCCGGGTGGCTGAGGTGGCTGGGGGTGGCTGGCTGGGTGTGGGTGGGAGTGGGTGGGAGTGGGTGGGAGTGGGTGGGTGGGTGGGTGGGTGGGTGGGTGGGTGGGTGGGGGTGGGTGTGTGTGTGTGTGTGTGTGTGTGTGTTGAGAGTGTGCGGGTGTGTGTGTGTGTGCGCCTTCTGGCAAAGGTGCCAGGCAACTAGATTTTTTGGCGATTCCGCACGTGCTCGTGTTAGCTCCCAGAAGGGTGCTTCATGTTGTTCTGCGCGATGGGAAAAGTGTTGCCACCGTGGAGCTTGCAGCAAAAGAATCGCAGGATCCTCTCCCGAAATTGTGCACGCATTCTATCAAGGGCCCCCCCCCCCGCACTTTTCGCATCCCCAGCTCGAACATCGCAACTTTGTAGTGCAAGTCTAGTGCGCGAAGTACGCTTCCGCAGCTCCAACTCGAAAATTGCAACCCCGTAGTGCAAGTCAGGTAGGTGGAATACACTTCCGCAGCTCCAGCTCGAAAATCGCAATTCTGTAACACAAGTCAAGTACGCAAAATACACTTCCGTGAAAACTGCAAGGAGACTTTACAATCACGCAAGCGAGGCGCGCCTCTTTTTAGTCACCAGCGGCGCCAGAGCCGCCCAAGAGGAGTCTGAGCTAGAACTCTGGGAGCCACGCTTCTGGTTCAGGACAGCCTGCCGGGCTCGAGCAGCAGCTCTGGCTCGCTGCAATTGCTTTTGATGCTTCCTGGCGTGCTCTTCAAAGTCCCGCCTTTCGAGCGCGTTCGGCTTCTCAGACCATGCGCTGGTTCCTCTCCGACTGGGCAGCTGCCTACTTGAAGCAATTATGGGTGTCGCTCCACCGTCTGAAAGGTGTTGCTTTGGGTGTCAGATTTTTCCCAACTCAGGGGCTGCCAGAACTCTGCTTCCGAGTAGTAGTAGTAGTAGTAGTAGTAGTAGTAGTAGTAGTAGTAGTAGTAGTAGTAGTAGTAGTAGTAGTAGTAGTAGTAGTAGTAGTAGTAGTGGTAGTAGCAGGGTGGTGGCGGTGATCTAGTCGGCGGTGGTGGTGGTGGTGGCGGTAGTAGGAATAGTTTCGCAGTAGCAGTAGTGGTAGTAGTCGTCGTCGTCCTTCTACTCTTCACACGTTCCCAAGTCACCGTACAAGCAAACATGCCTTCCCGCCCAAAAAGCGCTGCAAAACGCAACATGGGGCTGTGCCAAAAACAAGGTGCTCGGGCCGGGAAGGTTGGATGAGGAGTATGATTCGCGGGTGTGATTCGAGGTATGATTCGAGGGTATGATTCGGAGTATGGTTTGCAGGCACAGAGACTTCTGTTGCAGCATGTGCTGCGCTGACGGGCAAGCCACCCTGCGTAAGTTACCCTGGGCAAGCCCCACTGCGCAAATCGCTCTGGGCAATCGACTTGTGGTTTGGGTGCGATTCGTGGTATGATTCAGAAGCACAGGTTTTTCTGCAGCAGAAGCAGTCGTAGTAGAAGTTAGTGGTAGTAATAGCAGTAGCAGTAGTAGTAACAGCAGCAGGAGGAGTAGTAGTAGCAGTGGTTACTAGTGGTATTAGAGGTACGAGTAGTACGTGGTGTTGCGGGGGTGGAGGGGGGGTGGGGTATGGTTTCGGAGGTGTGGTTCGTTATGCTTGCCATCCTTTACTAAGCCTTGGGTTGCTTGATAAAGGCACACACCCGTATAAACGACTGGAAACGTCCACAATTCACCGCAAATGCACTTGCTTCCCCGCTCAAAAACACTGCAAAAACACATGCGCCCGCTCCGCGCTGCCTTGCACGCCTGCCAAGCCCCACCCCTGCCAAACAAGGCAAACGGTAAGCACACCCGGGACTTGCTGGAAATGCCTGACTGGCTGGACTCGCTGGGCTGGGGCCCGCGTCCGGCTTTGCGCTGCTGCTGGACTCGCTGGAGTGCCGGGCTTGCTGGACTCACTGGACTCACTGGACTCACTGGACTTGACTGGACTTGCTGGACTTGCAGGACTTGCTGGACCACTGGTCTTGCTGGACCCGCTGGACTCGCTGGGCTCGCAGGATCTGCTGGACTTGCTGGACTTGCTGGACTCGGGCGCGCGCGCCCGACTTTGCGCTGTCCCGCTGGACCCGCTGCTGGACTCGCTGGACTTCTGCTGGACCGACTTGGGCGCGCCAACTTTGCGCCGACTTTGCGCGGACCCGCTGACGCTGGGCTCGCTGGACGAGCTGGGCTGGCTGGACTTGCTGGACCACTGGACTCGCTACGCTCGACGGACTTGCAGCGCTAAACTCGGAGTGCTCGCTGGACAACTGGACTTGCTCCGACTGATGGGCTGGACTTGCTGGCCTCGCTGGACAGGTGGTTGCTGGACTTGGGACTTGGCTCGCTGGACCTGCTGGACTGGCTGGAGCCGCTAGACTTGTTGGACTCGCTGGACGCGGGTTTCCACTGACGATAGCCATGATTCGCCCAATTTCTGGGCGCATTGGTCAGCCCGATTTGTGCTTTGACGAGGCTTATGAGGAGAGAGAACCTCCTCCGAAAAGCCGTCAGTCAAGCTGGCACTTCCTGCAAGGCACGCGTGGTGCGTGTGCATGCCTGCATGCGCGTGCGTGTGCTTGTGCATATGCGTAGGCTTGTGCGTGTGCGTGCGTGCATGTGTGCGCGTGAGTGGTTGTGTGCGGGTGTGCGGCCACTGGGGTGTGTGGGAGGGGGGGGGTTATGGGGCTTGTCTTGTTCCCTGCTGGTACGGTTCTCCAACATTGTGAGCAGCGGAGGCGGGCTCGATCTGGGCAGGCTTGCCCGGACGCATGCTTTGCTGTTTGCTTCGGCTTGCGTTTCGACACTCCGGGCTTGTTTGGGCTGGACTGGTGTCCTGTCTGCTGCCCGCCCTGCCCAGATGCATGCATTCCATTCCACGTCGGCGCTCACGCTTTGCCAGGGAGAAGGAGGTTGCCTGATGGTCTTGGAGGGCGTAAATCAGACAGGCGCGCTGGACATGGCGGGACTGGAAACTGCTGGAGAGCGAGTCGACCGTTAATGGCTCCTCTACACAAGCAGCAGCCACCTTAGGGAGAGAGAGAGAGAGAGCGAGAGAGGGAGAGGGGGAGAGAGAGCTGTGTCAGTCACGCTGCGTTAGTCAGCTGTGTAGCCGACAACCGTTTTTCCAAAGAACCGATGCTTTCGGGGAAAAGCGAGAGAGGGAGAGAGATGTCAAGAGACATCCATGAATACATTAGGGCAGTGTGTACATGAGGTAGACATTGTCCCTGACAGGCCTTGAGCCATACAGGTTCGAGCTGGCACATGTGAAAACAGATGCACGACAGCTGCCGCCGCTCACACACAGGTTCAATCATTTGCACACTGAAGTTTTACATGGTAGCGGAGCAGTGATCCCTGGTACACGACCCACACTACCCAGGGTGAGCTCCAACACGCACTCACAGGTTTAGGTGTACGGCAGTAAGTAACACAGCATGGCACAAGCATCCACAGCACAAGTAGCAGTCACACAAGTGCACAGATACAAGATACCACCACCACGGTTCAATGGCACATATGAGGCCTTCGAGGAGTGGAAGTACAAGATGACAGCATACCTTGGGTTACAAGACCAAGCATACCCACAGCTACTCTCAGGAGCTGAGACAGCAACACACACACTGGACAACGACGACCTCGAAACAGCAGCGCCAGACACAGCCACAGCAGAACACTGGAAGCAACTTGGGAGCGACCTCAACTACATCCGCGTTAACACTTGCGACGACACTGCAGCAACAATCTGCAGACAACGTGCAACGAACACTGGCTTCGAGATCTGGAGGCAACTCCACATCCGGCTCTCGATACCCATAGGTACACGAAGCATCGGTTACCTCACAAAGCTTCTCAAGCCACAATTCGACGAACATAAGTTTGAAGAAAGCTACACCACATGGGAGTTTGAGGTCACACGGTACGAAAGGGACAACAACACAACACTGCCGGACAATGTCAAAATAGCCATACTGCTCAACGAGACAAAAGGACCGCTGCAGCAACACCTACAGCTACAAGCAGGCTCAATCACAACGTACGCACAGATCAGGTCACTGACTTGGAATACCACAGAGCATCAACAGCATTTGCACGACTACACACACTGACACAAGCATCAGCAAGCAGCGGACAAGGACCAGCACCAATGGACATCGGCGGCACATGGCACAAAGGCGGCAAGAACAACAAAGGAAAAGGAAAAGGCAAGCACAAAGGCAAATACAACAAAGGAAAGGGCTACGGCGGCTACGGCAACAAAGGCAACAACACTAACTACAACACAGGTTACAATAAAGGCAAAGGACAGCAGGGTCCCATAGGACAAGGAAACCCATACGGAGGAGGAAAAGGATTCACAGGATTCCACAAAGGAAAAGGAAAAGGAAAACACAAAGGAAAGGGATACAGCAAAGGAGCAAAAAGGGAAAACAGCAATGAACATCTGCTACAGATGTGGACAACCGGGACACTTCGCCAAGAACTGCCAAGTTCCGGTCTACAACTTGGACACGGATGGAGACTACAACAACACAGACCCCTCGTTTCAGTGGTGTAACACACAAGACACTTACGACAACACCTGGTACAACCAGGACCAGACACCGTACAACCAAGCACCACAGTTGGCACTACCGGCAGCGCCAACCAACACCACACCACTGGTCGTCTCAGGCATAGACGACATGCTCATTGGAGCAATACAAGCAGCAGACACAAGCGACATGGACAACAGAGCAGTGCAACTCATGATAGATAGTGGAGCAGCAACACATGTTTGCCCAACATGGTTTGCAACAGACTACCCACGGCAACAGATACAAGAGGACACAGGACCACAACTCAGAACAGTCACAAACCAACCAATCAAAGTACACGGGTACAAATGGATCTGCATGCAAAACGACACAGGACAACACATAGTGATACCCTTTTATGTTTGCGACGTCAAACAACCAATCCTTTCGGTCAAAAGGTTGGTTCAACAAGGGTTCAAAATCACACTTGACGAACAACCGAACATGCAGCACAGCAAAGGCTTTCACAGCAACCTGGTACAGCAGAATGGCCTGCTGTTCCTACAGATGCACATTAGCATCATGGCGGACAACATGGAGCTACAAGTCAGGGACGCACCGCAAGGACAAGTAGCAACAATAGCACCAATCACAACGATAGCACCAACAACTCTCACGCCAACGGGAGCAGACATTGTCAGAGGAGGCACAAGTGACCTCTGGCAATACAACAACAGCGGAGAACTCGTGCGAGTACACAGAGTGTACAGGAAAGCACTGTTCACACCCGAACGAACAGAATGTCCAGTGTCACTCGACAAACTGGAAAACTACGGGCGAACCACAGTCAAGAAGCAAGATGGCAACATACGTCATCGAAGAACAGTATCAGACACTAGACAGCAAGCAACAACACAGAACGCTCCCACATTCGTGGAAAGGTGAAACAGTCTTCCGAATCAAGAAGCAGCACCAGCAGTCGGCGGCCCAGCAACATCAAATGGCGGCTAAGCAACAGCAAGCGGCAGCACAGTCAACCTCCACAATAGGAAGACAGGCAGCAACAAGAATCACTCCACATGTCATTAGTTACAACCCAAAGATGAGACTGACAACAAAGACAACACCACAAGCGCAAGGAATTCCACAACCGCACCACATGACCCCAACATCGGACTACTGGATTCGCGAAGGACATCTTTGGAAACGAGCACATGTTCTACCACGACAGGACTTCTACATCCCGGAGAACACCACAGATGGACCAGACATCAAGAAACTCACGCCCTTCCGCGGTACAAGATCTACGAAGGTCGGCGACAACAACGAGCACAAGTACATCGAGGACGAGTGGACAACGCAGCCCAACAAATCCCACGATTTTCTGTGGACAGGTTCGACCAACTTCGAGGAGAACGCGCAGTACGACACGCAACTTCCAGGAGATGATGAAGAAGCACAGCAGCAAGCACACAGAGCAAAAGCAATACCAGCACCGAAGCAACCAACAGCACAAGAACTAGCAGAACATGAGCTCACACACCTTCCCTACAGGAGTTGGTGTAAAATATGCACACAATCAAGAGGCAAAGCAGACGCACACAAGCAGCAACAACAAACAAGCAGAAGCCCAGTAATACAACTTGACTTCGCGTACTTGAAGAGCTTTGACGACCCGGCGTACCAAACAACCCCGGTTCTAACAGCAATCGACATACAGACAGGCATGATGATGGCAGTGCTCACCAGAGACAATCAACAACAGTTCGAGCACGCAGTACAACAGCTGCAGGCATTCCTTCTGGAATGCGGCCGCGCACATGCCATCTTACAGAGCGACCAAGAGGACTACCTCAAAGCACTGATCAAAATAACAGCACACAGAGTAGGACACATGCAAGTGAGGTTCTCGCCAACATACAGCTCACAATCACAAGGAAGCGTTGAAAGAGCACACCGCACACTGTTTGGACAAATCAGGACACTGAGAGCACAACTCCAACAGAACTACAACAGAAAGATCAACCTGCAACACCCACTAATGGCATGGATGGTAAGGCACAGCGCCTACATCCTCAACAGATATGCCATTCACAGCAACGGACACACAAGCTACTTCAACAGGTGGCAAAAGAACCCACAAACTCCACTCTGCGAGTTTGGAGAAACAGTGCAGTACATGGTTCCGACACTCAAACAATACCCAAAACTGGAACAGCGCTTCTTCGACGGCATCTGGTTGGGTCGAGATGAGAGCACAGGGGAACACATCCTTGGAATCAGCAACAGAGTCATACGAGCAAGGACAGTCAGAAGAACAATAGCACCACACAAATACAACCAGCAGTTGATGGATGTAGTCAACGCAGGACCATGGCACATACCACCACCGACAGCACCGATCGCAACGAGAGTAGCGCGACCAACAAGAGAAACAGGAACAGACACATCACGCACAAGCACGCAAGATGCAGGAACAAGCACAACAAACGAGCATAAGCGAGCGCGGCAGCAGGATGGATCACCAAGAAAACAACAACGACTTCTTCCTGGAGATGCTGGACCTACATCACCAATGGCGACTTCACCGACGACATCAAGACGACCACCACTACCACCACCAACACGAACACGCGCAGATGAAATAGCAGAAGGAAGCACAAGCAAGCAACAGAAAACGGAAGCAGCGCAACAGCAGAAGGAAAGGCCAGAGCAAACAGAGCAACCGAAAATGAAGCTCAGGATTGGAGCCATCACTGTAAACAACAAAACAGGACAATCAATAGAAGCAACATCTTGCGAGGATCAACAGGAAGCAGAAAATGAAAGAATACTACTAGAACCAATCCTGAACAACACCAACACGGAGGACCTAGACCCACAACTGGTGGCAGAAGGTATGAAGAAAGAGATCAAGCAAATGAAGGAACACAATGTCTTCACAGAGGTTGACATCAGAACACTCACGCCGGAACAACAACGAAACATTGTGGAATCAAAGTGGGTGCTGAAACCAAAAGGAGATGAAGTCAGAGCGCGCACAGTGGCAAAAGGCTACACCGAAAACATAGCAGACACAGACACACTGTACGCATCAACACCAATGTTCAGCATCCTTCGCACACTTCTCACAACAGCACTAGCAAAAGGATGGAAAGTTCGCACAGGTGATGTCAGCGTGGCATTCCTACATGCCATAGCAGCAACAACGGACATCCACATGAGACCGCCACAAGAATTTTACGATGAGAACAACAAGCACATTGTTTGGCGGCTCAACAAAGCAATGTACGGCCTTAGGTCCAGTCCCAAACAGTGGCAAGATCACATAGCAACAGTCCTCACAAAGCTTGGACTAACACGACTCAAAACAGACTCCAACGTCTACAGGAACAAGAAAGGACAGCCTACATCATGATCTACGTCGACGACCTACTTCTACTTGGAGAAGGACACATCATCGACAAGATCTTCGAGCAGATCGAGAAGGAGGTTCTTCTACGACCCACAGGTGAACTACAACCAGGTACAACAATTTCCTTTCTCGGAAGGAAGGTTACACACAACGGAAACAGCGTGGACATCAGCCTGCAGGACAAGTACGTCAACGACATCCTGGCTGAAGCAAACATGAGCAACTGCAACCCAGCACCAACACCATGTTCACCAGCACTTAAGACAGACACCAACACAGAGCAACCTCTGAACACAGAGGAACACAAAGCATACAGAAGGACAGCTGGCAAGATACAATGGCTAGCATACACCAGACCAGACATTTGCTTTGCAGCAAAGGAACTTGCACGTTCCTTACAGGCACCAACACAACTCGACAACCAGAGAGTTAAACACTTGCTCAGATACCTAAAAGGCACACAGCACTACAAGCACAGAATACAACCAGTCATGCAGCATGGAGACAAGCGAGTCCCGGTCGACATCGACATCTACACCGACGCAAACTGGGGCTCATGCCAAACAACACGCAAGAGCACAACAGGCTTTGCAATACACTACCTCGGCACATGCATACACTTTGCATCACGCACACAAGCAGTAGTAGCACTTTCCTCAGCGGAATCAGAGCTATATGCCATAGGCACAGCATGCACAGAAGGCCTGTACATACGCAACTTTGTACAGGAAGCATTCGACATCAAAACGAACCTAAAGATACACACCGACTGCAGCGCAGCAAAATCCATCACAATGAGAGAAGGCACATCAAAGAAAGCAAAGCACATTGAACTGAAACACCTCTTTGTGCAACAACTAGTAAAACACGGACTGATCTCGATGCACAAGATCAGATCAGAGCACAACCCAGCAGACATCCTCACCAAAGGAGTGAACACAGAGACACTCCAGAAGCACCTCTACAAGGTTGGTCTTCCAGACCGGCCCACATCTCGGATGTGACAACCACGACGCCAGACAAGTTGCGACTCAGTAACATCCACAGTATTTGCACGTACTTGTGGTACCGTAACGACCTTCGCACTTTGTCACTTGTCTGTTTTAAAATAACAAGGACAAGCGGGGCAGCGTCGTTTCACAGTAGAACATCGCGCGATGGACAATTCTTTGCCATAACTTTCGGATGGTTTCAGGACACACTGGGAACACATCCCGATACATCTTTTCTCCTTTCACCTGCATGTCTTCGAAGTTGCTTTAGAAACCTGCAGCCATTTTGCACCTTTTTTGTAGAGCAGTGCAGCTCAAGTGCGGCGATGGCGCACCACAGGGCGCATCACACCCTGCACATGAGGTCGGACATTCCACCGGGTTTCACCTCTCAAGTGGTCCCAGGACACATAGGGCAACAGCCAGACAATGTTGCAGACTACACTGAGATGATCCTCCCGGCCACGGAAGAGGAGGTGGAGCACCTCACTTCTGGCCACACCAAGGACATCGACGTGATCCCAGGGAACATGCGCATGCCTCACATGGAAGTACTAGGCCTCCTGTACAGCCCCATAGACTGCCTGATGTACATGCTTTGGCTCTACAATACCAACGATTGTTCGACAAGGAACTTCGGTGCAGCCTATTTGATCCATATCTGGATCAACACGCATCAGTTGTTCCACATGCTCTATCGCAAGGTGCTTGTACCCTTCAACCGGGGCTATTCGTCGCAGATACTACAGCTGGACAAAAGCGCAGCGCTCAAGCTCACACTGGCGGAAAAGGCGTCGATTAGGGTGAACAAGATTATGGGAGACATTTGGAGTCTTCATGCCATGTACAGCATCCGCAATGGGTTCATCACAGTTCAACACGTCGTTCTGCATCTGGAGACATTGTTGGAGTGTGATGTCGGTGACCTTCGACACGGAGCCGCAGCAATGGCATTCAATTTGCTGACGTTCGGTGACCTGATGAACATCCCAGACCGCTTGCGACAACGGGTGCAGAATTACATTCTGCAGCACAAGATCATCTTGAATGGCTGCATTGATCACCCTGCGCCTGGAACACCGGAGTTTGCTCAACAAGCCAGGGAGAATCACAAGCAAGAACAAGTGCTGGAACAGATCAAGGGTTGCAGGCTCCTACACTCAGACATTGCCGCACCTTGATACATTGGTGCCGCAACATTTGGCAACCTTGAGAAAGCAACTGCGCAGAAGAGATTGTGATACATTTGCTTCTGGAAACAGTTTGGCTTATGGACACAGTCTTGCGCATGAGGTTGCTTCTCACGGACGATGCGTGTACAGAGCTTCGACAAACTAGGGCACTGTCGAATAGGAGTTGTACAGTAGCGACAACATTCTTTCGACACCCGCAACTTTAGAAGCTGCATCTGCGCTCAAACATTGGCCTTTTTGAACGGAGTGTACAAGCTTTGTACAATCCGAAGAAGGGCGTCAAGAGACATCCATGAATACATTAGGGCAGTGTGTACATGAGGTGGACATTGTCCCTGACAGGCCTTGAGCCATACAGGTTCAAGCTGGCACATGTGAAAACAGATGCACGACAGCTGCCGCCGCTCACACACAGGTTCAATCATTTGCACACTGAAGTTTTACAAGAGAGAGAGAGAGAGAGAAAAAAAAAGAAAGAAAGGAAAGAACAAATAGAAAGAAAGAAAGAAAGAAAGAAATAAAGAAGGAAAGAAAGAAGGAAAGAAAGAAAGGAAAAGAAGGAAGAAATAGAGAGAGAGAGAGAGAAAAGAAAACAGGAGAGAGAGGGGGCTCTGTGGGCGGGATGCAAACATTCTTTTGTGCGATTCGCGCCTGTGGGCCATGAGGGTGGTTTCACCATCACGTCTTGCCCAAAGCGGATCGGTCGTTTTGACCTTTTTGTTTTTCTTTTTTTTGTAGGGCTGTCCCAAACAGATTAAGCTTTGATTGATTTGAGGGTTTTCCGGAGCATGTGAGCGATACTGGGGTGCGAGTTGCTGGCCTTGTTCCTCAAGAGGCTCACATTTGATGAAAGGGTGGCTTGGAGCTGCTTGAAGCATCCAAGCAAACATTTGCGGGTCAAGCACGTGGCCCGGCCGACCAACTGAGAGAGCCCACTGGCATGATTCCAACGCAAGGCCTCATTCTTTTCCCATTGCCAGACCCCGGCCGAGTTTCCCAACTGTGCCATTTGATGTGTAGGCAGCATGTTGGAACATGTCAGTTCGAGCATTCCTGAAGTCATGATTTTCACGGCAAGGCCAAAAGACACTTGAAGCTTGCGCTGCCTGCTCAACCCAGCTTCACTACTGCAACGGGTAACCAGAAGAAATGAACCCTGCTTGATAATGGGGAGCGTCAGTGTCCTATTTAATTATTTGAGAGGGCGCCAGGTGTGGCAGGAATCTCCCAAATCAATCCACAAGGTAGACTAATCTGAGGTCAACGAAAGAATGTATTTGGGGTAGTCTATGGACCAACTGAAGATTGTTTTTTTGATAGTCTGCCGGGTTTGCGCCGCAGTGGTGCCGTAATTATGAGGCGGCGCCCTGCACATATTCCGCGGCCGCGGGGTGGGCCTTGGCGGGTGCGCCAGCGTGGCCGGCGGCCTCCGGCTCAGTCGCGCAGGGCGCTTGGTCTTCCGAGATTGCGCGGTGGAGGCGGTAGCTTTCCCTTTTCAGACATCGCCGTGGTTTTGGTCAGGCAGGCATGCCCAGCTTTTGATCCGTTTTGAGTGACTCCAAAGGCTTACTTTTTTGTCCGCCTCTAAGAGACATCTGCGCCCAGCCCCGGCAAAGTTTGATGCGAACCACTTGATGGAAGGGTGGGGCGGCCTTTAGACTGTTTCCCCAAAACAAATCGACCCTTCACCCTTTGCACTTCCCTTGTCGGTTTCTCATGAGTTGTCAAGGTCCCGCAAGGTGATCGCCTTGTATATCCGGGGATTTAGGGCGAGCAAATCACAAGACTGGCGAACACTTTCATGTTTCATTTCTGCAGGGCCTGTGGAGCGCCCAGCTGATTTTTGAGTTTGCAGTCCAGCTCCCCTGTCTAGCACCTTCTTTGGTTCTGCTGGGTTGTTGTGGAGACAAGCCCCACACTTTGGCTCTGCCAACAGGGTTAGCATAGCGCCAGCAAATCTGGTGGTCGACAATTTTCAACACATGGTAAGCTTTAGTTGTCTTTCTTTTATTATGTTTCTTGTTTTCTTTCCTTCTTGCTGTTCATTGTCTGTATTGTTTCCATTTTTTCTTTCTTCCTTCCTTCCTTTGATTCTTTCTTTCTTTCTTTCTTTCTTTCTTTCTTTCTTTCTTTCTTTCTTTCTTTCTTTCTTTCTTTCTTTCTTTCTCTCTTTCTATTTGCCTCCTCTATCTGTTTGTCTATCTAGCGATCTATCTACCCATCTGTCTACCTACCTTTTCATCCATTTACCCATGCACCACATATCTATCAATCTGTTTCTTTTTTCTTACCTATCTATGTATTTACATATGTATTTATTTGCCTATCAACTTATTTATCTACCTATTGACTTGACTTGTTTCTGTATTTGTCTACCTCTTTCTCCCTCTTTCTTTGTATCTCTTTATCTATCCATCGATGCATCCTTCCATTTAGCCATCCCTCCACCTGTTTATCTAAGATCTGCTTGTCTTTCTCTATTGATCGGCCTATCTATCTATCTGTTTACCTATTTATTTACCGATTTATTTACCTATTTATCTACCTTTGCGTCTATCTGCCTAACCTATCTTTTCCTATCTTGCTGTCAATCTATCTCTCTATCTGCTTATCTGTCTATGATCTACCTGTCTGCTTGTTTATTGACCTGTCTAGTTATCTACTTGTCTATTTATCTACCTGTCTGTTTATGTATCTGTTTATCTATCTGACCTATCGCTATCTTCCATCTCTCTCTATCCATCCACCGAGCCAGCCATCCTACCGACAAATAAACGAAATCGCTGTGCCTGCCACGAAATCTGCACCTCACCTTGCGAAAGTGCTGCGCCTGCCTGCTGCGCAATTGAGACCCTGCAAGGTTCTGCGTTGCTGTGCCAATAAGCCGTGCGCCGCGCCTGGACCGCACCGCGCCCGCCCTAGACAGGTGTCGAGACAGTGGTTGACATCGACGCGGACCCGCCTAAACGTGCAGCAGGCCACTCTTTTTCGCGATTTCTATTCCCCCGCCACACGCCCAAACATTCTTTCTCGCACGCATTCATTCTTTCTTCGTCTTATCTGTGCGCAAACATCCTTTCACTTAGCGTCCGTACTTCGGAAGTTCCTTCAAAACTTCCTGTGATTAAGTTCATTGGCCTTGCGAAATCCCAACGTGAAACTAGGTAGCAAGCTTCAATGTAAAGCCAGGCCAGGTAGCAGAACCACCCAAGATGATCCGCTTTGGGCGCGCCTTGGGTTTTTTCATGGAGGCTGGCCAAGGCTTTGCGCTGCATCCCTTTTGAAACCTTGGATCAAAAGAGAGCTTGCAGAACTTTGACAAACAAAACACACCCCAAACCGGAAATAAGTGCTTCTTTTGGTCTTGGTGGCATCAGCTGGAATTCTCTGACGGGGGAGTGAGCGGGTGTAGGCTACCATTGGTATCAATCCAGGGTCCCCACATGTTTCCCTTTTACTTCCAGCTCCTTTGGGCAAGATAGTTCTGCGCAAAATGGGTCAGACTCTGAAAATGCCACATGCCTCATTTTCCGCAGCTTTCGCTGGCGGAGGGACTGCGTCTGGCTTAAAACTGACAAGTCCCAAAACAAGGGGCGGTGGCAGGCATGCGGCATGGAGGTGTTCCTGCATGGTCCAAGCATTGTGAATACTCAAATTCACCACGGCGGCTGTCACTGTTAGCATTTTTTCAGACTTTTCTGGCCGTAATTGTTGATGCGGATGATGCAGGATCTTGTTCCTGCACCCATCTGTCCCGAGCCCTCTCCTATGTCCGCCCCCCCTCCCTCCCAAAAGCGCAACGCTTCTTGCGTGCCTCCCTCTCAAAAACCAATTTTTGGGGAGCTCGGCCCCTCCCTCTCAAACGCTTGTTTTTGGGCCCCCGCATCGCCAGCGTCGTTTCAGCGTCTGCGCGGGTATAAAACGGATTTTGTGCTAGCCAATCTGCGCCCCCCCCCCCCCCCAAACCAAGAACACAGTTGTCAGGTTGTGCAACATCAAGTTTTTCTGCGCGCGCGTCCACTAAACAATGTTCTGCCGCGTTTGGAGGTTTTTGTCAATTACTTGACGTGTTGCTTCTTCAGCGGGATTTGTGCTAGAAGAAACCCTTACAGCCACCCAACTGCGAAGCCTTCTCAAGCTTCTGGGAAGGTCCATATTGAGCTGGCTGGAGTTGTTTTCTTTCAGTTTGTGAGGGTTGTGGAAATGCGACAAACTGGCCAGGTTTTCAGCAGTATACGGGCACTTGGGCGCACTGTGAATAGCAAACTCATCAACGGTCTTGCCGCAGCTATTTTTGCACACCGTTCTCTTCCCCAAAGCACCCACTATACATGCCTCAAAAATCAATCCCCGGTGTCTACTCTTTGCACATGGGGACCCACAGAGAAGGCAGTGTTTGGTTTATAGCCAAGTGAGTTGATACACTGAGCACGAATGAGAAAGTGTAGGGCAACGTTTTCTGCTAGTGGTTTGAGAGCTCTGTGCGCATACAGATGTGCGTCAGGCTTGAGCCGGAGAGCCATGGTATGGATTGCATATGAGTGAACAAGAAATTTCAACCCCTTTCATCCACCTGAAGAGTGAACCTTAGGGCTGGAGGGTTTCAAGACGGTTGCTCATGCCAGCAGGATGATGATCGTTGCCCCCTCCCACCAGCCCAACAGTAACAGCAAAGCGGGAAAGTTTCCACGTTTTGAAAATGCAAAGTGAACCCTCTGCGCACTTTGGGCGGGTCGAATCGCTCTCGCTGTGGCGCAGCGCGCGTGTTCATCATGATGTTGAGCGCACACACTGAACCCTCTGCGCACGGAATCGGTCTCGCTGTGGCGCGGTGCACATTCTGAGCGCGCAACGTGAACCCTCTGCGCACTTTGGGCGCGTCGAATCGCTCTCGCTGTGGCGCGGCGCACATTCTGAAAATGCAAAGCGCAGTATGGGTGGGTCGAATCGCGCTCGCTGTGGCGCGGTGCAGGTTCTTGCTGCGGCTCAAATCGCAACTCATAAGTGCGAGAGTTGTGCCCCAAGTACACTTTGCCGGCTGCGGATCGAGCATTGTACTTTCCAAAAGCGAAAGGCAAGGAAAAAGGGAAGGCAGAAGAGAAGAAAGGAGAAGAAGAGAAGAGAATGCAAGAGAGAAGAGGACAGGCGAGAAGAGAAGAGAAGAAATGGGAGAAGGAAAGGGACGAAAAGAAAGGAGAGAGAGAAGAGACAATAAAAATCATAAGGGAGAAGAAGAGGTGAGAGAATAAGAGAAAAGAGAAAAGGGGGAGGAGACAAGAGAAAAGAGAGAGAGAGAGAGAGAAGATAGAAGATAGAATAGAGAGAGAGAGAGAGGGAGAGAGAAGAGAAGAGAAGAGAAGAGGAAAAAAGAGATGAGAAGAGAAGAGGGGAAGAGAGTTGAAAGAAGAGAGAAGAAGAAATGAGAAAAGAAGAGGGAGAGAGAGCGAGAGTGAAGGATAGACAGAGACAGGGAGAAAGAGAGACAGAGAGAAAGAGAGACAGAGAGAGAGAGAAGACACGAGAGAAGAGAGCGAAGAGAGAGAGAGAGAGAGAGAGAGAGAGAGAGGGAGACAGAGAGAGAGAGAGACAGAGAGAGACAAGCGAGGACAGAGAAGAGAGAGGAGAGAAGAGAGAGAAGACAGAGAAGAGAGAGAAGCAAGACAAGAGAAGAGAAAAGAGAAAGAAGAGAAACACATCAGAGAAGAGAGAGAGAAGAGAGACAAGAGAAGATAGAAGAGAGAGCAGAGAGAGAACAGAGAGAAGAGAGAAGACGAGGAGAGAGGAGAGAGAAGAAGAGTTGAGAGAAAATAGAAGAGAGAAGGGAGAGAAGAGAGAAGAAGAGATGCGAGAGAGAAGAGAGAGAGAGAGAGAGAGAGAGAGTGAAGATAGAAGATAGAAGAGAGAGAGACGGAGAGAGAGAGAGAGAGAGAGAGAGAGAGAGAGAGAGAGAGAGAGGGAGAGGGAGAGAGGGAAGAAAGGAGCAAAGAAGAGATGAGAAGAGAAGAGGAGAAGAGAGTTGAAAGAAGCAAGAAGCAGAAGTGAGAGAAGAAGAGGGAGAGAGAGCAAGAGTGAAAGATAGACAGAGAGACAGAGAGAGAGAGAGGGAGACAGAGAGACGGAGAGAAGGAGAGAAAGGAGAGAGAGAGAGAGAGAGAAGACAGGAGAGGAGATGTAAGAGAGAGAGAGAGAGAAGCGAGGACAGAGAAGAGAGAGGAGAGAAGAGAAGGGGAGAGAAGATAAGAGAAAAGAATAAGAGAGAAGAGAAAGAAGAGAAACACATCAGAGAAGAGAGAGAAGAAAGACAAGAGAAGAGAGAAGAGAAAGAAGAGAGAGACGACAGAAAAGAGAGAGAGAAGAGAGACAAGAGAAGATAGAAGATGGAGCAGAGAGAGAAGGGAGAGCAGAGAGAAGACGAGGAGGGAGGAGAGAGAATAAGAGTTGAGAGAAAAGAGAAGAGAGAAGGGAGAGAAGAGAGACGAAGAGATGAGAGAAGATTAGGAGAGAGAAAAGAGCAGGGAGAAGAGACAAGAAGAGAAGAAAGAAGCAACGCAAAAAAGGGAAGGGGAGGGAAGAGACGAAAAGTGGAGAGGACTGGAAAGAAGACAAGAAAAGTAGTACGCGAAGGAGCTGCAGCTCGAACGTCGCACTTTTCAAGTACGAATGTCGTATGCAAAGTACATCCTGGAGAGCTGCCGCTCCAAAATCGCCTTTTTTACGTACGAATGTAGTACAAGCAGGACATTCCGGGAGCTGTAGCCCGAAAATCGCATTTTTGCAGAAAAAGAAGTAGTATGCGAAGTGCATTCTGGGAGCTGCAGCGGGAAAATTACATTTTTAAAGTACGATAGTAGTTCGCGAAGTACATTCCTGGAATCGCAATTTTCCAGTACGAATGCAGTATGTGACGTGCAGCAGCGGGAAAATGGCACTTTCTAAGTACCACAGTAGTTTGCAAAGTACATTCCTGGAGTCGCAGCTCGAAGATCGCAATTTTTCAGTGCGAATGTAGTACGCAAAGTACATTCTCGGAGCTGCAGCTCGAAAATCGTATTCTTTCAGTACAAATGTAGCACGCAAAGCGCGTTCCGGGAGTTGTAGCTCGAAAATCAAATATTCCAAGTGCGAAAGTAGTATGCGAAGTATATTCCGATAGCTGCAGCTCGAAAAATGTTGTTTTAAGTACCGAAGTAAGAAAAGAAAAAGGATGCAAAGAGAAGAGAAGAAAAAAGAGAGAAGAAAAGAGAAGAGAGAAGAGAAGAGAGAAGAGAGAAGAGAAGAGAGAAGAGAGAAGAGAAGAGACGAGAGGAGAGGAGACGAGAGAAAAGACCAGAAGAGGGAAAGAGAAGAGAGAAGAGAGAAGATGAGTCGAGAGAAGAAGTGAAGAGAGATTGCAGAAGAGAAAAGCGATAAAGAGAAGAGAGGTACAAGATAGTGAAAAAGAGAGAAACGAGAGAAGAGAGAGAAGAGAGAGAAGAGAGCGGAGATGACGAGAGAAAGACAGAGAGTGAGAGCGGAGAGAAAAAAGAGAAAAGACTAGAGACAAGAGAGAGAAGAGAAAAGAGTTGAAAGAAGAGAGAAGAAGAGATGAGAGAAGAACAGGAGAGAGAAAAGAGAAGACAGAAGAGAGAGAGAGAGAGAGAAAAGCGAGAAAATAGAAGATAAAAGAGGGGAGACAGAAGATATAGAGAGGGCGGAGAAGACAGAGAGAGAGAGAGAGAGAGAGGAGAGGAGAGGAGAGAAGAGAAGAGAAGAGGAGAGAAGAGAAGGAAAGAGGAGAAAAGAAGAGAGAAGAGAGACAAGAGAGAGCACAGCTAGAACAGAGAAGAGAAGAGAGAGAAGAGAGAAGAGAGAAGACAGAGAAGAGAGAGAAGAACGACAAGAGAGGAGAGAAGAGAAAAAAGAGAGAGAAATCAGAGAAGAGAGACAGAGAGAAGAAAGACGAGAGAAGAAAGACGAGAGAAGAGAGAAGAGAAAGAAGACAGAGGAGATAGAGAAGACAGAGAACAGAGAGAAGACTGAGAAGAGAGAAGAGAGAAGAGAGAGAGAAGAGAGACAAGAGAGAGATAATTGAGAGACGAAGAGGAGTGAAAGAGAGAAGAGAGAAGAGAGAGCGAGAAGAGAGACAAGAGTCAGACGAGAGAGAAAAGAAGAGGAGAGAAAAAACGAAGAGAGATGAGAGAAGAAGTGGAGAGAGAAAACAGAAGGGAGACGAGACAAGAAGAGATGAAGCGAAGAGGGAAGAGAAGAGAGCAGAGAAAAGAGAAGAAAGAAGAGACAAAGGGGAAGGGGAAGGCGGGGAGAAAAGAGAAGTGGAGAGGAGAGGAGAGAACAGAAGAGAAGAGGGACAAGAGAAGCGGAAAGAGAGAAGAGAGAAGAGAGAAGAGACGCGAGAGAAGAAGAGAAGAGAGAAAAGAGATTGAAGAAGAGAAAAGAGAAAAAGAGAAGACAGAAGAAAGAGAAGGGATAGAAGAGAAGAAAGAAGAGAAGAGAGAAGAAAGCGAAAAGAAGAAAATGGAGAAGAAATAAGAGAGAAGAGAAGAAAGAAGAGAACAAAAAGAAAAGACTGCCGTCTCTGCTGCAGCTCCTGCGTCCGAAACAAGGCAAGTGCGAAACTCGCAGCTCTTTTTTTGTAGCGTGTGAGAAAGTGATGTGTTCGGGCTCATGGGCTCTATCTTGTGGGAATTGTTTGCTTCGCTCCCATATTAATGGCTTCACGCATTCCACACTTGCCTACTTTGTACAAGCAAAGACGGGCACGCGCTTTGCTTGGCAGGATGCGCCGAAGTTGCCGGAAAAGTACGCGGGCAACGGTGGGGCGCTATACCTTTCTGGTAACTTGGAGCAGGACGGGGATTGTCAAGGGCGGTCTTGCCTAATCAGCTGCCACGGGCCTCATGGGAAGCCAGGATGATGATGTGAAAAGATGTGTAACAGCCATGTTTAAACACGTTCCTGCCAGTCTTCCGGATCAACGTTGAATTCTTTTGTCCCAGCACGCTAAGTCTGCTGCCCTATTAAACGGCGTTCTTACTTTGGACGTTCAGCTCCGTGCCGTCTCCTGCTCTTCCTCCGCCAGCCCCATTCACTCAAACTTGCACACTAACGTAGAGGCTTCCAAGACGCTTGAGGAAGACAATCTTCCTCTTGACGGGGGCTCTTTCCTTTGTGAGCCTTCACTCGCTTGAGGGCAGGTGAAGGAGATAGCCCGCCTCAGCCCCCAGCAGGAGGGGCATCTGGAGTTTGCGGGCTGCCGCGCCTCCAACATTGGGATGGGAGGATGCCTGTGCCACGGCTAGAATGACAACACGAGGAAGTTCGGGTTTTCACAAACAAGGGTAACCTCCAAAAAAGAAAGGGATTTTGGACATGTTCCGGTGGGTTCATGCATCCTGGATCTGTGCTCTTCGTGGTGGGTGGGGCAGGGACAACAGTCGAGAAAAGCTATGTTTCTCTGGTAGGGGGAAAGTAGGGGCAGAAGGATGCTGTGCGCGGAACATGGGGCCACGGTATTGAAATTGGCTTTGCGTCAAAAGTAGAGGTGTAACTAGCGCACGAGGCTAGCCTGCAATTCATATATGGTCTGGCTTTGTGCATTCTGCAATCTCTTCAACATGGCCGGAGATGCGCTCTTCTAGGGCACGCTGCGCATGCGCTAGTCGGATCTCAAGGTGGATGTTCTTAGGTAAGGACGGAGGCGCTAAACAAAATGGAGTTACGAAAGAATTTTCTTCTGGCGATCGAGGGCGGGGGTCCGGGGGGGGGGAGATGGTAAAGGGACAATTAATTCAACGCGTTGTCATTTTTCTCAACAAGCATGCCAACAATCAACAACACCAAAACTAGAACAGCCAACAAACCCAAGAAGCCAGCACAACCACCACCGCTGGAAGCAACACATACAACATTCATCAAGTCAAGCAAGCGTACGCGGGTCAAACCAGTCCAGTCAGAAACCGAAAGCAAGGACCACGAGCAAGCAGTCAAATGTACCGGACTTGAAAAAGAGATAAACACACGAGACAAACAACGATAACCTTTATGACCGACACGTAGGATAAAATTATAGCATATAAGTTGTCAAGGTTATAATCATACCATGATTATACAACTTTGTGTTCAGCAAACAACCTCGCTGTGAATGCATGCCCCGTTAAGGACCCATTGTTGGCTATCCGCATCCTTGTGGTCTGGAAAAAGTGTGTTTTATTCTTGATGGTCACAGAATAGCACATTTGTTCTAGCTCAAGGTGTTGCCGAGCTTCTAGGTTTTGCCTTGCATTTGCCCTTCACTCCAACACGAGAATATAGATATTTGTCCCCCTTATGCTAGTTCGCGGGCTCTTTTAAAGTGGCCTCTAAAGCAGGCTTGCTTTTCAGACAGTCAAATAAACAAGTTTGCAAAGTAGGTTCTGGGAGGCTCTGCACCATTGGGCCTTGCTGCTCTTCAAGTTATGGCGAAATATGTGACGATGATCGCTGCCCTTTTTTGTGAAAGTGTTTCCAGTGGGGCTGCGAAGGTTAGCTTTAGGAGCCACGATCAAACACGTTGCTTGGGGTCCTCTATTAAGGCATTTTGTTGCCCACTCCAAGACATGTAAACAACGTGATTTCATTTTTTGGAAGCAACACTTGGAAGCCTTAGATCCAGAAAATCCAGTTTCGCACGTGGTCCCAAAACCCAATCTTTATATAAACCCCTGATTGCAAAAGCAACAAGGCCAAACAGTCGCAAGCAGGGGGTTGCCCACAGGAGCCCCCCGACCATCTTCAATCCGACTTGTGTGAGTTCTCGTTAGTGTCACTTTGTTGTTGTTTTGTTTGGCTCTGAGGCTAAAGGCCGTAACTCTAGGAAACAAACCATCATTTGTTTTTGTACGCCATTAACAAAATGCCAAGCCATCACACAAGGGTCGCCCGCAGGCTGCAGGAGGTCCTGATCCTCTTGAATCTGACTGTTTTGTGGTCCTTTTTAATGGCAAGTTCTTTTTGGCGGGGCTGAAACTTCCAGATCAAAGCCCTAGCCTGGCTCACCTAAGCTCTTCCCAGCTTAGAGGCTAAAGGCCTGAGATCTAGGCAATAAAGCCACGTTGCAGTACTAAATCAAGTACAGGAAATTTAAGATTAAGTCTTGGGAATACTAAAGTGAGGACAGGACATATAAGATAAAGCCTTGGCAATACTAAATTCAATACTGGGAATATAAGATTAAGCCTTGGCAGTATTAAACAAGTCTTAGTAATACTAAATGAACGACTTGAATCTACGATTCAGTGCAATACAACATCCAGCAAAGCCCAACCCCACCCCCCAATTTCCGACTAAAGAGGTGCTGGTACTGTTTGAGGAGGGGACCGATTAAAGCAGGTCCCACATTTATTAGGGCTTGTGCCGTGTGGGGGCAAGCGCGTTCCCTTTTCCCAGTTGCGTGGACTGCCGCAGGCATGATCTCACTAATCACACGTGCGGCCCACAATCCCGAACCAATCCCAAAATACGCACATTTGTCGCTCGTGTCAACGCTTCAGTGACACATTTTAGTTTGACACAAGTTTCGAAACGGCCAGTTTTGGAAACTACCATAGCGTAGCGGAAACGTAGCCCCTTTACGAACGCTTCAAGTCTCCAAAACATACCGGAAACGGAGCCCCTTGACACACACACAGGGCCGTGTCAAAACTTGTGCCAAAACTCCCGACCCGCGCGGGAAATGCAAATCAATTCAAACAAGTCACCAAACAGGCCCGTTTCAAAGCTTGTGTCAAAACCCCCTGTGTCAAAACTTGTGTCAAAACTTTGGCAGAACTGCCGTGTCAAAACTTGTCACAACCTACTGCATATAGTCACAATAAAGTTTTGACACAGTTCACACAACGTTTTGACACGGAAACGTTTTGACACGGGAACATTTTGACACAAGTTTTGACACGGCCCTGGTTGGTGACTTGTTTGACTTTTTTGAATTTCCCCGCACGTGTCTGGAGTTTAACACAAGTTGTGACACAAGTTTTGACACAATCGTCAACTTACGTCTTTGTGGTGACTCGCGTCTTTGTTCTGATTTGTCGTTTGTTTTGACACGCAAGTTTTGGCACAACTTTTTGGCTTGGCACAAGCTGCGACGCACAGTTCATCTTATAGGCTGCTTGGGATTCCTGCCCGTTCCTGTGACTTCAGTTTCATGTAATGTAGAACCTGCCTTAACCGGTCCCCTCCCCGCACCAAACAGCGCCAACAGTCATGTTGACCCTCTTAAGTCGGAAATTTGCGGGGCCTATGTTGGACTTTACTTGACTTTACTTGACTTAAGCATTGCCAAGACTGCCAGTACTGAATTGAGTGCTACCACGACCCAATCTTAGATCCCGAGTATTTGATTTAGTATTGGCAATACTAAAATTAGTATTGCCAAAGCTAAATCTTAGATTCCCAGTACCTATTTAGTATTACCAAGGCCAACTTTAGTATTGCCAAGAACTGATCTCAGATTCCCAGTACTTATTTGATTATTGCCCAGACTTAATCTTGGATTCCCAGTACTTAATTTAGTATTGACAAGACTTTTTTCAGTTTTGCCAAGATGTAAGGCCTGTAGCCTTTGAGCTGGGAAGGGCCTGGGTGAACCACCGTTCAAAGTAAACGGCTACGGCTTTGCTCTGGCAATGTCACCCTCCCCCCCAAGCAAAAATCAACACAATATTGCGTGACATTGACGCGGACGCCCAAAGCAGTCAGACTAAAGAGGAGCAGGGGCTCTTGCGGGCACTTGCGGGCAACCCCCTGCATGTGAGGGCCTGGCTTTGTTTCTTGTTGCGACAGGGGATCTTGTTGTAACGCTAGGTCTAAGGTCTTCAACCTTTGCGCTGGGAAGAACTGAGGGCAACCAGGCTAAGGCGTTGATCTGGAAATTGTCACCCTTTTCGAAACAAACTTGCTATTAAAGAGGGCACCAAAACAGTCAGATTAAAGAGGATTAGGGGCTCCTGGCACAACCCTCTTTGTGTGGCTGCTGGGCCTTGTTTTTTGCTATATCTGGGATTTGTTGTAAAGATAGGTTTTTGGGGGCCACTTGTAAAACTGGAATTTCTAGATCTAAGGCTTTGGTCTGGCAACTGCTTCCCAAGAAAGAAGGCTCGCGTTTGTTGACCGGTTTTCCACTTCGGGGTGGGGCAAAAGCTTTCCAGAATGGAGGACCCCAATATAGCTCAGGATCCTGAATTGGGAAAAACGCTTTCTATAATAAGCGTGTCCATGTGGCAACGATCCATTGCTCACACACTCAGGCACTCCCGCCAGGACTCATGTGTCATTTGCAGCAACCAACAAACAAAACACAGCCTGGCAGGCAAATGCCCAAGCAAAAGTTCTTAACTGTTGCCGAGGCATCAGTGCTGCTTTAAATTGTTTCTTCTCCTAGGCCAATTCTGCGGCAAAACCTTGAACAATTAGACATGTTTTTTTGGTTTGGAAACAGCGGTCTGAATGGTCACATCCCTTTTTGGTTTGACACGGGTGAGCCCTAGTTGCGATTAACAGTGCTCACGAAATAGCGTACAGAAGGCCTTGGTGATCAAGGAGACGCCTGCAGCTGCAGCATCATCCAATCCGGCCCACTTCGCGGATGACCTCCAGGCAGAGATGCCAGCAGCCTCATCACCACTACCACCACCCATTTTAGCAACTCCACCACAACCTTTGTCCCAAGAACAACCACCACTCCTATCGCCACACATCAGCGACACCAGCAAATCAGCGCACACAACATTTACGCAGCAGCAAAAGCAACCCTCACTGCCAGTTCCGTTCACACCTGTCCGTAGAGGACGTGCGAGATCACGCTCCCCGATACCAGACCGACCCAGACGACCAACACCACCGCCAGCAACAGCAGCACTAGATCACAACCTGTGAGCGACCAAGACTCACTCGACAATGACATCGCCGAGCTCTTCGGAGCACCCTTGTCAGAGAGTACGGCGCACCACTGACGCGACACGCAGCACCTGACACCACCATCACGGCAGTTGCACCCACTGCCTTAACTGCACCGGAACAACCGCAATCAAGCCAACACACAGCTGGGATTTTGGGATTTCGGGAAACATTTCCGATGTCGGAGAGATGACGCCCATCACACCTCCAGACCCAGAAGCACTACCAACTGTACCATCAAAGAGCCCCTTCGAGACATTGATGGCCCTTACATCCTGCTTCGAGTACACCACTCGACATCCACATCCACGGCTCAGACCACATTCGGGACTGTGTCAACTCAACAACGTGCCGGAGGCCGGAGAGC